TTAGGAAGGTTGTAATGAAATTTAGATCTGCAATCCAGTACATTTAAATCATATGCTTTCTCAGGATCTGCTGACATTTTTTAAAACTAGGAATGCTTAAATACAACAGGAACGTAAATATGCAAACGGTTGTGGCATTTTTTTATGGTAACTTGTTCCTACAGTAGAAAATCTGCTTTGGTCTTATCTGCTAAAATTATTATTTATTCAATTTATATACCGCCCTTCTCCTATTGGACTTAATTAAACTTGTAGTTGTAATACAGTACAAGCTTGCTAGAAATAAGAAACTCTGCAGTTAACGTGCTTGTCTGTGAATGTTCATAGAATTGTCCTTTTTAAAAATTGGAATTGACCTGTGCCACTTTTCACAGCTGATTCAATGTATTCAGTAGTGACAGTTTCCTACATGTATGCAAGCTGCTGCACGGAAGTGTGAAAGGAAGATTAAAACCTGATCCAAGGTCAAGTAATAGGAATTTCTGCTTCTGTTCATGTTTTATATTTTAAAATCAAAGATTGGCATAAATAAATGGCTGTGTATGATGCAGTTTAGACTCTGGGGTGGCTTCTACAATTATTCAGCTTTTTTGTGAGGCTTTTAACATAATATTCCCTATGTAATTATAATGGCTTTTTTCACTTTTGAACAATTTTTATTTTGCTGAATAAATTATTAAAAGTGTAAAGCGGTGCAGTGCTCAAAGAGAGTGCTTTGTGATTCAGCTTTTGTGATTGATTGATTGATTGATAGATTGATAGATTGATTGTATTTATCTTTGTAGGGTCCCCAAGGTGATTTCTTAGTTATTATGGTTACTGTTTTCTCATTTGCCTTTGTTTTTAAATACTCTCTTCTTTTATTACATGTTGCCTAGATTCGTTACGATGATTTTAGGCATCTTGTAAATTGAATAAATAATAAACAATGTTTATGCTGGCATATCAATCCAGAATAAGATATTCCTTTTTTAAAAATAAAGTTTTTTTTTACATAAAAACAGTTAGCTTGCTTTTGTTGATCCATATCAGTTTCTATAACATGTTGTTGAATGCTTATTAATGCCAGTATTTTCCTAAATAAATTACAAAAATGCCACAGTGGTTTGATAATAAAAAGGGTTAGATCAGAAATAGCATTATTTATTTTGTACTATCTCTTTTACTATATTGTATACTGTACTTGGTGTAAATCCAGCATTATAGTCTGTACTTAAAGGCTTAGATAATATGAAATCAAGCATAAAATATGATCTGAGTTGCTTAGCATGTCAAGTGAGTCAGAGTCAGTCTAATCCCATGTAATCTTTTCAAATGTGTTTTCAAGCAATCATGGTTTCCTTTTGAAAATACCAAATTTATTTTCGTGTTTTTCAGATTGAATCCCAGAAACAAAAAACGTGATGGTGCAGTTTGTTTCTTTGTTAACTTTCCTAAATGAATTCCCTTCATCCTTACTGGTAAGAAAGCTAATATGAAATTGAAGTTCTTTGCTGGAGAATTGCCTTTTGTGGAAGGACTGCAGAACAGGTAGTTGCACTACTTAAAGAGCAACTTAGAGGGGTGGGGTGGGGGAGGCACAGTAAGAAAGCTAAGAAGATTTGAGGATTGTTGTGGTCCGCCAGCAGCCTGTGGAGCTGGCAGCAGAGTCGGACAGTGAGGAGGTTAGGGACGACCATGGGCCAGTCCTGGAGTCTGGGGAAGGCTTGGACGAGGGCTCTGCATCGGAGGCAGAGATGGAGCCATCTGGGAGGTACGTGCTGCCTCCGGAGCCTCCAAAGTCTCACCTCAGCGAGGCAGAAAAAGAGGGGGAGCCTGTTCCCAGTGCGCGCATGTGCAGAGCTGCCAGAAGGCAAGAACAGTTAAAACAAAAGGGACGACTCGGGAGTAGGGCTTGGAGATGATTGGCCCCTCCTATAAGACTTAAAAGAGGAGCAAAGGCACATGGGCCTTTGTAGGAAGCAACATTGTTAATTCTGTGCAGTTTAAAGTCTGAAGCTCTGTTTGATTCTGGACCCCATGTGGCTTTGCCAATTAGGTCTTTGGCAGCGTGTCAAGGGAGATAAAGGTGGGTGATTATCAGCCCTATCCCAGAGGACTCTTTACAACTATTTGGGACTCATCTGTGAATGAACAGAATTCATAGCTGTTAAAATAAAACAGGTTTTTGGGACTACTCGTGTGTTTTACTGACTCAGGAAGCCTAGGTCAGAACAAGGATGACCGAAATTTGTATATGTAGATGAGGGAAATGAATGTCAGAGGATATATAGACCAGTCTCAAATTTTAAATTTTAAGGTGGTTGGGGTTGAAAAACACTGTTATAGGCTGTGTTTACATATTATAATAAGTCTTTTTATGATGTACACAGCCCTTTAAGTACAGTATTTTGCTCACTATCATTTTCTTAGCATTACAATTTTCTGTTTACAGAAACCTGAAATCATCTTTTCAAAGATTATGTATGATGCGAGGTAAAATAACAATAGATATTAAAAGTAAAATCCATGCAAACAACGTAATTATTTGGCGGCTAGGACTGTTTATTCCTCTGTCAATTCTGAAGGTATTTTGTCTTTCTGTTTTGATATAGATACATAGGTATATTGTCCTCAGGTTTAGTTTTCATACATAAAATTATCTTGTGTTTTCACATTTCTGTATATAAATGCAGAACGTTGGAAATGAGGTGTATGGACTTTATACTGAACAGTATTGGGCACCATTTTAAGAAGTTTTGCTTAGGTTTGTTGGCAAGCTCCTGCCTTGGTTTCAAATGAGCTAGGTAAGTCATTATTCTCATAATATAAATCATTTTCTTTAAATAATAAAGGCATGTATATGTATGTATATATAGTAGGTTAAATCAGAAAGAAGCTGTATACAACAGAAAAGTAATAGATTTGCTTGTGTGGATCTGTTTTTGATCCAATTAGATTTGCCAAGTTGTTTTTGGGCAAGCCAAATCACCAATCTCCGTTCTATGTGTGTAAAGTAAACATATTTATTCATGTGGTTATGAATTTAAAATATTCCACATTCTGGCAGTTTTGGATATATTACCTAATAGATTGGAAAACATTTTTGTATCAACCTAACACTGGAGCTTTGAGGCTTTACATGCAAGTACAACTTTGCAACCATAATGGCAAACTTCTCTAGATATTTAAGAGCAACTATATATAGCTAGTCTTATTGCCACTGATAGATTAAAATATATAGGAATGAAAGCCGTTTCTCCCATGTTTTGAGGAAGAGGACAGTATTTGCTTAAATAATATAAGAAAAAAAATGGCAGATCTTAAAAACTGAATGCAAGAGTATGGAGTATTAAAGTTACATTATTATATATGATTTTTCTGAGCTTCATTCTTGATTTAGACACATCTACCAGAAATTAGACACATCTACCAGAAACCAGAAAGGGACACAGTGGCTCAGTGGCTAAGACGCTGAGCTGGTCGATCAAAAGGTCAGCAGTTCAGCGGTTCGAATCCCTAGTGCCGTGTAATGGGTGAGCTCCCGTTACTTGTCCCAGCTTCTTCCAACCTAGCAGTTTGAAAGAACGTAAAAAATGCAAGTAGAAAAATAGGGACCACCTTTGGTGGGAAGGTAATGGCGTTCCGTGCGTCTTTGCCATTTAGTCATGCTGGCCACATGATCACCGAGACGTCTTCGGACAGCACTGGCTCTTCAGCTTTGAAACGGAGATGAGCACCGCCGCCTAGAGTTGGGAACAACTAGCACATATGTGCGAGGGGAACCTTTACCTTTACCTTACCAGAAATTATTGACTTAATTAAGATTTATTTCTGAGCTTCTTGAAAGCTAGCAATGTGGTTTTATTCACTCCTATTCTGTACTTATTTTAAATATTTTAATCCTGATTTTCAATATTTTCATCATCATAGATAACACAGGATAATGTAAACAACACAATCTTAACTAATAGCATTTAAAAAACAGTAGTATAATCACAAAACCTAGAAAAACAGAGCAATTTTTATCCTATACCCAAAACCAATCAATAGAATGTCACAGAATGTATAAGAGTAAGAAATTGCATAAACGGAGAAGCTTCTCTTGTAGACAGCAATTTTGTGCTATAGCATTTAGTATTTACACTTTGATTATCACAACAGTACATCGCAGTGTTTCTCAACCTTGGCAGCTTGAAGATGTGTGGACTTCAACTCCCAGAATTCCTTAGGCTCATCCAACTAGGTGGGGAATTCTGGGAACATCTTCAAGTTGTCAAGATGGAAAAACACTGATATACTGTATGGAGTCTGAACACAGTGAGCGTTTGCTTCCCTCTGGTGGCAGCCAGTTTAAAATGCAGGGAATTTCAAACCATTAAATCTTTCCATTTTAAGGGATTTTTTTTCACTTAGCTCCTGATAATTGGGGCAGTTTATTCTTAAAATCAATAAATTGGCTAGAAATAAGGAGCATATTGGCCTGGTTTAGCTTTCATAAGGTTTTTTTCCCCTTTTTCTTTTAAAGGAAAGGTTATCTAATCCTCAGTTTTTGAGAAATGCTTGCTTGTACCTACTTCAGGTACAAAAGAGGTCTTTCCTTAATATTTTGTAAATGAGTTTTTAGACAGTTCTCTGAAAAAATATACCAACCGTAACTCTAGATCAGGATTCTCAATCACAAATCTCCAGGACGGCCAGCCCCAAGGTCTGCTACAATGAAGTCGTGCCACACAGAAAGAACTTTCCAACACAGCCAAAATGAAATACCAGACACAAATGCCCAATTTGTAAATGTGGCAATTAATTATAGCCTTCGTATCATTGATTGTATTTTCTGGTTTTAGGCTTTCAACATTTCTTACTGAAATTCCCTATATGGATGTTTACAGTGATCCGATGAACAGGCTTCAAGGTCAGGATGCCACTAAAGAATTGTAGAGACACACGTTGCCAAGAGGTGGTTTGCTTTGCAGTATTTTGCAGAATTGTTACACTTCTGCTTCAGGCAAGTCCCCAAATAATTAATAAAATAATCAATTATAAATCTATAACTGCATAATCAGTAGTAATAGTATTGTAATATTATCTGTCCATCCACAGATCAGGATGTTCTTTAGATCCGGGGTCCCCAACCCCTGGGCCGTGGCTGCGGTCTGTTCGGAACCGGGCTGCGGAAGTGGCGGGCGAGCAAACATGCGCAGTTCCACTTGTGCAAGTGGCTGCTGAGCCCAACACTCGTGCAAACAGAGCTGCGTGCATGCTGGCTTATCACTCACACAAATGGAGCTGCGCGTACACATGCCTCACTCACTGATTCTGCAGCCCGAATCCCCCTCCCCCCCCGCTAGTCCGCAAAGCCTGAAGGATTGGAGACCACTGCTTTAGACTCTGCTTAAAATATTGAGAAAAGAATCTACATGTTGTAAATTAAGAGGGGCCATAACTATAGTATTCAGTCAGCGGGTTTCCTAAAATTCCACATTGGCCAATCCAGGAAGAGCTATCCTATTAAAAGCTAGTATAGAGAGTCCTCGATTTACAACCATAATGGAGCCCATAAGTCATGATGGTCATAAGTCGAGGCACTCATGAGACTGACCTGATTTTATGATTTTTTTTGTGTGGCAGTTGTAGAGTCCATTCATTCCTATAATTGGTTTGGGTTTTTTTTTTTTGGAAAAGGCTGGACAATGGCAAAAAAATAATAATCATAAATTGTAATTATGTGAATGGAATTGCAACTGCAACTGACCCGGGGTGAAATCCAGCAAGTTCTAACAGGTTCTGGAGAACCAATAGCGGAAATTCGGAGAACTGGCAAATACTACCGCTGGCTGGCCCCAGAGTGGGGTAGGAATGGAGTTTTTGCAATATCCTTCCCCCAGGAGGGGAGGGAATGGAGATTTTGCAGTATCCTTCCCCTGGAGTGGGGTGGGAATGGAGATTTGGCAATATCCTTCCCCTGCCACGCCCATCAAGCCATGCCCACCAAACCAGTAGGGAAAAATTTTGGATTTCACCCCTGATCTGACCGTTAAAGTGAACTGGTTGCCAAGTGCCTAAAATGCTGGTCCTGTGACTTCAGGTGTAAGGGGTTTCCGCTGTCAGAATTCCAGAACCATGTCACAAATATCTTTGTGTGTGTGTGTCTGTCTGTCTGTCTGTCATAATTTTGAATGGTCGCTAAGCAACTGATCATTAAGTGGGGACTACCTGTGCAGTGTAGTAGTTAATGAGTTGAATTAGGAGACCAGATTCAATTCTAGCTTCAGCTGCAGAAGCTGACCTGATGATTTCGGCCCCACTCTCTGTCTCTCTCAACCCCAGCCTGCCTCAATATGGTGGTTGTGGTGGAAATTTTGAGGTGGGATATTAACAAAAGCTTAATTATAAAGATCTGCCCACCTGCTGCTCCTACCTTTTGATAGTCACTATTCATCCTTAAAGTCACCGAAGCCAACAGCCATCCTTGCATCATCTTGCACTGAACTCCACAGTTCACTTGTGCAAGTGAAGGCAAGAAGCGTTTCCCTTTGTCCACTTTACCTGAGAATAAGGCATATGGAGATCTAATTTGGATGATGCTTAATGACTATGACTCAAGGGATTAATTATGCATAAACCTAGCAGTTGATTTCACAATAAACTTCTCACTGTGAAAAATAGAAATTTACTACTTACGATACACGCATGCATGCGTGCTGGAGTGCAAAGATTAACACATTCAGTTGAAAATGGCCAAATGATGAGCAAGCATGTCTATTCATAAGTCTTATATTTATAAGTCTTATATTCATAAGATTCTGTTTTAACAGTCTCTCCGTATACGGTACAAATAAAGATAGTCCTTGACTTATGACCACAATTGGGACCAGCATTTCCATTGCTAAATGCAAGGTGGTTGTTAAGTGATTCATCGCTGAATTTATAACCTTTATTGCCACAGTTATTGAGTGGTGCGGTGGCCTAGAAGTGGAGCTATCGCCTCACAATCAAGAGGCTCTGATTCGATCCTAGGTAGAGGTAGATATTTCTCTCTCTGAGCACACTGAGAATATATCTGCTGAACAAAACTCCGCATTGGCGACAGGAAAGGCATCTGGCCATTAAAACACTCTGCTAGCTCCATTCAGATGTTCCGATTCCAACCCGCAAGGGATTACGGGGGGTCGTTAAGTGAAGATTATTAGTATTACTATTATTATTATTATTATTCCCCCATTGACTTTACTTGTCAGAAACTGGCTGGGAAATTTGTTGCAGATGACAATCACATGATCCTGGAAGACTGCAACCGTCACAAGTACATGTCAGTTGCCAAGCGCCTGAACTTTGAATGTATGATTGTAGGATGCTGCGATGGTTGTGAGAGGACCGTTATAGGTCACTTTTTTCAGTACTGTTGTAACTTCGTTCTGTCGGTAAACAAATGGTTGTAAGTTGAAGACTACCTGTTTGACTGGGTGCCTTCCTTACTTCAATCAAATAGGGTCTGAACGCAGTGAGATCTAAGAAGTGTAAAATGACACTTTCCCACTATCTGCAATATACATCTCCGTTTATTGCTTTTTTTATGGCTATGAACATCTCTGAACTTACATGGTTTGAAAAGAGAATAGGGATAGGGATAGGATAGAACAGAACAGAACAGAACAGAACAGAACAGAACAGAATAGAATAGAATAGAATAGAATAGAATAGAATAGAATAGAATAGAATTCAATTCTTTATTGGCCAAGTATGATTGGACACACAAGGAATTTGTCTTTGGTGCATATGTGCTCTCAGTGTACATAAAAAAGAATAGAATAGAATAGAATAGAATAGAATAGAATAGAATAGAATAGAATAGAATAGAATAGAATAGAATAGAATAGAATAGAATAGAATAGAATAGAATAGAATAGAATTCTTTTTTGGCCAAGTGTGATTGGACATACAAGGAATTTGTCTTTGGTGTTCTCAGTGTACATAAAAAGAGAAAATACATTCATCAAGAATCATAAGGTACAACACTTAACGATAGTCATAGGGAACAAATAAGCAATCAAATCATATTAGGAAGCAATCAATACAAATCGTAAGGATACCAGCAACAAGTTACAGTCATAAGTCATAAGTGGGAGGAGATGGGTAATAGGAACGATGAGAATATTGTGGAACAAGAGAGATCTTTTCATGCCTTTTCTTTGCTTAGTTGCCATTTTCTGCTGTTTTGTTTTGTTTTTTCCACCCAGGCCCTTTTCAATCTCCTGATTCCCGATCATGCCGCGGATGCCTTCTCTCCCCCGCGCCTCTCTGACCCCGGGTTCTTGGACCGGCTGCTGGAATGGCTCCTGGGAGGCCTCTCCCGTTGGGATGCAGAGCACTTCTTGTTCATAGCTGAGCATGGCTACATATACGAGCACAACTGTGCCTTCTTCCCGCTTTTCCCCCTAACCCTAAAAGCAGCCGCAAACATCATCTTCTGGCCCTTCCAAGGCTTTCTCTGTTTCCGGAGCTGCCTGCTCCTGTCTGCGGCTCTCCTGAATGCTGTTTTTTCTGTTTTAGCCTCTTGGACTCTGTACGAGCTCAGCTGTGCAGTCCTGCAGTGCCGAAGGAGGGCTTTCCTGTCGTCCATTCTCTTCTGCCTCACTCCAGCTAATATCTTCATGGCAGCTGCTTACTCAGAAAGCATGTTTGCCTTCCTGGTGTTTGCTGCCTTGTGGAGCCTAGAGAAAGGGCACCGTTGGCTTAGCCTCCTCCTCTTTTCGTTAGCCACCGGAGTACGTTCCAATGGGCTAATCAATGCAGGGTTTCTCATTTATTCCCAGACAAAACTCTTCGCTTTCAGGTTTCGAGCGAGTGAAAACGTGTTGCGGAAGAAAGGCCCGTTTCTAAAACTGGCCGCTGCTTTGGGGCTGATGTCTGCCTCGGTGGCTCTTCCTTTTGCGATGTTTCAGTACTACGCCTACTTTAAATTCTGCCATCCCGATATTGGCCTGGGAGGCGCCGTTCCAAAGCCGCTGTTGCAGTTGGCTGAATCCAAGGGCTATCGTGTAGCAGCTTCGGAGGGTGGGATGCCCCCATGGTGCTCCTGGAACTTTCCTGTGCTCTACACCTATATACAAGATACCTACTGGAATGTCGGCTTCCTCCGATACTTTGAAGTCAAACAGATCCCAAACTTCCTGCTAGCTTCTCCTGTTATTGTGTTGGGCTCTTGGGCGATCTGGTGGTACGTCACTGCCAACCCCTGGCACTGTCTAACACTTGGTCTGGTGAGAAGGAAGAGTGCAGCCACGCAAGGCCATGACTCGCACAAGCCAGCAGAAGGTTTTGGTTCTCCTGGTTTATTAGTCTACGTGGTCCATGCAGCAGCTCTGTTGGTGTTTGGGACCTTTTTCATGCACGTCCAGGTGAGTCTTGTTAAATATTGAACACTGATCAAGTAATGGGCAACGGTATAACTCCTGAGCAGATATATTTATTCCTACCATGATGTTGATACTGGATGCTTTATGGCACTTTTTTTTTTGTTATTAGCAGAATATCAGGGAACTATAGCCCTGACTAGCTGTAGATTACGTTAGATAATTATTTCATACACAAATTAAGGATTTTGTGTATATATGTGTAAACAAAAATATCTAGAGTAGGAAGATTTCTGGTAGTATCCTGAGATATAGGACATTCAGAGCATCTCCTAGATGGGAACATGTAGGATAAGGAGGAAAATGACAAGATTCACTGCATGACAGTTCATCAACCACTTTTGATCTTCGGTATGCAGCCAGAGTTCCTGCTTGCATTCAGGCAGGACCAGTGAAGCTTGCATGATGCAGATCAGTGTTTGAATGATGGAGGGGCAAGTTTATTTATTTATTTATTGGTTCGATTTATATGCTGCCCTTCTCCGGAGACTCAGGGCGTCTTACAATGTGTTAAGCGATAGCCTTCATACTTTTGTATATACCTGCTTAGTAGGGCTTTCGGCCCCCCCAAGCGGTGTTCTTTTATATATAAAGTCAGTTTATTGCCCCCACAATCCGGATCCTCATTTTACCTACCTCGGAAGGATGGAAGGTTGAGTCAACCTTGAGCCTGGTGAGTTTTGAACTCGCAGTAATTGCAGGCAGCTGGCAGCTAAGTGCTACTTAACAGCACTTTAGTCCACTGCACCACCAAGACTCTTCAAGTCCCTAGAAGTAGCCATATTAATCAGTTTTGACATAAATCAACAGAGTCAAGGCATGTTAAATAGTCTGTGGTATCTTAAACATTTGTGTTTGTGCATCTGAGGAAACTGATTATTTCACTAAAGCTTTTCCCATAGTAAATGCATTCATCTGTAAGTGTGCTACCTAGCTTCTAGTTCATACATGCAGAGGTGTATTGTAGAACATATCCATTGCAATGTGCAGTTCTAAGTCAATATGGAAAGTGTTATCTGAAAGCAACAAGTTGGATCGTAGCTCTCCTGGGACTTGATTTAAATGATACATCAAATTTTTAAAGCAAATTATAGATAATATCGGACTTGTCTGTTTTGGTTTTAACAATAGGTTACTTCTTAATCATCAGATATTACTCTACACACTTGTGTTTGGGATAAAATCATCTTTGTATTTAGTTTGGGAGTTTATCTTTCTGCTAATGCCATCACATTATCTGTATGCTTCTCCACGTCATCGGTATGCTTCTTCTTAGTTACTTTCTTTCACATGCATGTTTATTTATTTATTTAGTTTGTCAAGCATGTATGAGAAAACAACTATAAGTATGAACATAACATATAAACATAAGTATAAACAGGTATAAGTATACACATAATAAATGAGTACGAATAAATTGGAACAGTAGGACAGATGTTGCATTTATTTTTGGAATAACTGAACACATATTTACTCGATTTTATATGTTTATTATTGTTTAAATAATTAGTGTTGGCACACATCAAAAACGGGCAATCTTTTTAGGCTAAAAGTCACAGCTCTAAAATGACATGTCAAGTTCAGATTCTAAAAAGGAGGCAACCCCTGTAGACTCCTTAGCCATCTTCATCACGTAATTCTGGATAATGTTCTCGATGGCATATGGTCGAATATGTTTAGGAGTCCAAAATTCATCCCATTAGACCAGAGGTCTTCAAACTTGGCAGCTTTAAGACTTGTGGACTTCAACTCCCAGAATTCTGGATAATAGCTGGCTGGAGAATTCTGGGAGTTGATGTCCACAAGTCTTAAAGCTGCCAAGTTTGGGGATCCCTGCATTAGACCATAATCGTTTTCAGCTATTCTAATCAGAATGGTCCATGTTACTTTTTTAAGACATTCAAATAATTTTATGTGCATATTTCAGTCATTCTTATCCTCAGTTTCTGAAGTTAGGCTAATATTGGAGATTGGGAAGCTGACTTGGAGAATAACTCAAATCCACCCAATTTCTAGGTACAGTACTGTGAGTAGGATTAGAAACTGGCTGACATTGACAAGGCAATTGGAATAATTGATCAACACCAAGAAATAGTTAAATATAATAGAAATCTTATTACGGGAAAACCTGCTAGCAAATTTTGCCTTTGCGTCCATCTGCTTTATATTTTTTTTATGAAACATTTGGTAGCTGGAATGAAGGTACGTTTCATAGAATTATTTTGAAGTGTCTTGAGCACGTGGATATGGATGTAAATCTCTTCCTTTTATCTTCCTTTAATAGGTACTTACCAGATTTCTGGGCTCTTCTTCCCCAGTCCTTTATTGGTTCTGTGCTCATCTGCTCTATGACAATGAGCCTTTGCTGCAGGATGGAGGTTCCCCATCCAAGCACAGAGAATCCCTTGCTGAGAAGCCCTCAGTGGATAATTACTTTTCTACCTGCAGCAGACATGAAAACCCCGTGTTGATGCTCCTGAGCAAATGGAAGCAGAGCAGGATTCTCACAAAATGTATTTTGGGATATGTACTTTCCTACTGGCTTCTGGGGTTGGTCCTTCACTGTAATTTCTTTCCTTGGACGTAACCAGTGGTGAAATGTAAAATTTGTTACTACCGGTTCTGTGGGCATGGCTTGGTGTGTGCGTGGGGGGTGTAATATGACAGTGGGCGTGGCCAACTTTTTTTTCTTTTTACTTTTAAAACCATTTTCGGCTGAAGAGGCTGTTAAAAACAAGCTTTTAAAGCCCCTGACGATCCCAGCTGACTTGCCTGATCGGCAGAGGCTTTTTTTTTTTTTAGTCTCTGATGATCTTAGCTGACTTGCCTGATCGGCAGAGGCTTTCTTTCTTTTTTTTAAAGCCTCTGACGATCCCAGTTGACTTGCCTGATCGGCAGAGGCTTTTTTTCCTTTTAAAAACATTTTTTCTATAACCTCTTCGGCTAAAGAGGTTGTAGAAAAATGCTTTTAAAAGCCTCATGATCCCAGCTGAACTGCGCGATCATCAGACGTTTTTTTTTTTTTTACTTTTAAAAGCATTTTTTCGGCCAGAGAGGTTGTAGAAAAAATGCTTTTAAAAATAAAAAAAAAGCCTCTGATGATTGCGCAGCTCAGCTGGGCGATGGGGGGGGGGGGGCGCAGGGATTTTTGCTACCGGTTCTCCAAACCACTAGCTGCCATCGCTACCCCGGGAGCATTTCACCCCAGAGACTACCCGTATCATTTTTTTAACCTTTATCTATAGTTTTTTTTTCTTTTCTTTTTGGGTCCTAGTTCCATTGGCTCTTAGAAATCAATTTAGGTCAACTGAGATTTGTAGACTCTTCTTGCCTTAGCTTACACGTTTTCAGGCTTAAATTTTCGGATCAACTTCAGTCTGGTTCCCAGCCTTGCAGCACTGATTCCTTTTTTTCAATTTGGTCTGTTCCAACCTTCTACTTTTCCTCTGTCACAGTTCTAAATTTCATCATTTTACTCTTGAGTACCCTGGGGATATTGATAAGCTGTGCTTTTGACCAGAATAGACTATGATGGAAAAGCCACTTTTAAAAAAAAAAAAATAGAGCAGACATAATCTGGATATGTTAATGCACGCTGCAGTTAAAATCAATATTGAGCTCAGTCTGCTGTGCATGACGTTGTATTTGAAAGCTATTTATACATCTGAGCCAGCTTGAAATGGTAGCTAATGCTACTGTTGATCTTGTCAAGTGAGCACATGAAACTTTTGTGGGAGCCTCAGTTTCAGAACCACCTCTTAAGTAGCGCACACTAACTTTACATTTGTAGAGAACTTTGAGACTGTCTCCTATCTGAGGCTGCTGTTCTGTCCCCGTCCCACACGCACACACACCAACAGACGTCCAAGAGTTAAAGACTAAACCAGCCGACAAAATCCTTTTCCTTATGATAACGGAACTTGGCAACAACCTAGTGGCTGCCTGCCAAGAGTTTATTACTTAGGAAGAGGAGAGATAACTTCTCCCTGCTTCAGGTACATCAAAAGAAACAGCTCAATAATTACAGAGTCAATCAAGTCCAAAGATAATCCAGCAAAGTCTATAGCAAAAGTCCGGCAATGCAGAATGGTGTGGAAGCTTTCAGCTTTGTTCGTCACAAGGTTTGACTGGCCACCACGCTCCCTTTTATACCCTGTGGGGTGTGGTCCAGTGACTCAGCCTAATCTCGGGCACGCCTTTTCTTCTGTTGCGCGCGCTTATCTCTGCGACACTGGCGTGGATCCAGCCAAGACTCATTACTCTCATCACTGTCCACCTGTGGCTGCGTGGACGTGCTTGGCCCCGGCCCTATCTCTTGCCCTTCGGCGGACACCGAAGGCATTGCCAAAAAGGAGGGTCCTGGAGAAGGAGGCCTTGCCAACTCCTCTCCTTCACTCTCGGAGTCCTGCTGATGACACAGGCTCAGGTAACTGAGCCACAGCAGCTGCCTACTCACTAAGATCAAATACAGAAGTTCATTTTCCCATCCTGCCAATATTTGAAGTACGTTTAACGGGAATCTAGGGAATAGCATGCTATGTATCTTTGCTATGGAACTCCATGTCCAAAGTAGCTGACTTCACTCCTTTCAGCAATTTCCCCCACTATTTTGTGAAGGGACAGTCTCTTCTTTCCAGCAAGTATTTGATCCACTAGGCCAGAGGTGTCAAACTCAAAGTCTGCGGGCCAGATCCAGCCTGCAGGGTGCTTAGGTCTGGCCCGCAGGGCCACCCTGGAAACAGTGAAGGACCAACCCGCAGTGCTTCTGCCAGCGAAAATGGAGCTCGGAGGCTGCATTTGGCCCCCTGGGGTTTGGTTTTTGGCTGCAACAACCTCCTGCAGCCCTCTGCCAGCGAAAATGGAGCTGAGGAGTGCCAGTTTTTGCCACAGAGCGCTGCAGGAGGCCATCCCAACCGAAAACCGAGCTTGGGCGGGATTGTCCAGGCCACCAAAGGTGCCCCAGACATGAGTGACATTGAGCTGGACACGCCCACCTCAGGTCAAACACAACCCTGATGCGGCCCTCAATGAAATCGAGTTTGATACCCCTGCACTAGGCTAAATGTTTTATGAACTCTATGGGAGAATCAAATTGTGCGATACTGTTTATTATGTTTAGTGATTATCATTTCTTTCTTACTTTTATTGCTTTAATGTTTAACCAAAACAGTATTGAATATTCTTAAACAGAAAGATGGGGTAAATTAGTATTTCAGTATACATGAAGAGTAACCACCGTTTGACTTTGTATATCCCTGCAGTTGCTGCTTTTATATATCAGCAACATCATATAAAATACATAAAAACAGCATATATTGTTCCAACTTTTGTCAGTGACAAAAATGACATAGAATTGGAAGTGTACACTTAAATTCAGTCCCTAACTCATTACAGAATTTAAATTAAAGCAATCCTGACAGATTGTTGTGTAGCCTCTCCTTTTTTTTCTCTCTTTAAAGTGCAAAGTGATAATTTTAACAAACACAAAGCTTGTTTTCAATACTGCCTTATACAATAATGTGACAACTCCAAGTACTGGAAATCATTGGAGTAGTGTTTAAACAGCCGGAATAACAAAGGAGAACTTATACAGCATAGGAACGGAAAATATCTTAAAAATTGATTGTAAGCTGCTCTTCATGCCAAATCCTGAATTTTTTTTATTATTATTTTTTTGCTTTAATTTATATGCCGCCCTTCTCCGGAGACTCAGGGCTGCTTACAATGCGTTAAGCAATAGCCTTCATACTTTTTGTATATTTATACAAAGTCAGTTTATTGCCCCCACAATCTGGGTCCTCATTTCACCTACCTTTGAAAGGATGGAAGGCTGAGTCAACCTTATTTATTTATTTTATTTTATTTTATATTGGATTTCTATACCGCCCTTCTCCCTGAGGACTCAGGGCGGTGTACAGCCAGATTAAAAAACATGCAGAACAAATATTAAAAACAATTAAAAGATATATAAATTTGGCCCAATTAAAACTCATTTACCAATTAAAAACGTTTAAAACATTTAAAAACAGTTAAAAATTTCATCTTAAGCCAGCCCGGCTTGTTTAAATAAATGGGTTTTAAGGGCGCGACGGAAGGCACTGAGGTCTTGGATTCTCCTTATCTCTGGGGGGAGCTGATTCCAGAGGGTGGGAGCCCCCACAGAGAAGGCTCTCCCCCTGGGGGTCACCAGCCTACATTGTCTGGCTGATGGCACCCCGAGGAGGCCCTCTCTGTGGGAGCGCACGGGTCGATGGGAGGTCGTTGGTAGCAGCAGGCGGTCTCGAAGATAGCTAGGCCCTATGCCATGGAGCGCTTTAAAGGTGATAACCAACACCTTGAAGCGCACCCGGAAGACAACTGGGAGCCAGTGCAGCTTGCGCAGGAGCGGTGTTACATGGGAGCGCCATGCTGCTCCCGTCACTACCCGCGCTGCTGCGTTCTGGACCAGCTGGAGCCTCCGGGTGCTCCTCAAGGGGAGCCCCATGTAGAGAGCGTTGCAATAGTCAAGGCGAGAGGTGACGAGGGCGTGAGTGACTGTGCACAGGGAATCCCGATCAAGAAAGGGCCGCAACTGGCGAATCAGGCGAACCTGACAAAAGGTCCCCCTGGTTACAGCCGTCAGATGTTCCTCCAAGGACAGCTGCATATCCAGGAGGACTCCCAGATTGCGAGCCCTCTCTGTGGGGGCCAATGACTCGCCCCCAATAGTCAGTGATGGAGTCAACTGACTATATCGGGATGCCGGGAGCCACAGCCACTCAGTCTTGGAAGGGTTGAGCTTGAGCCTGTTCCTCCCCATCCAACCTTGAGCCTGGTGAGATTTGAACTTGCAGTAATTGCAAGCAGATGTTAATAACAGTGCTTTAGTCCACTGTACTACAGGCTCTTCTAAGTAAGCTGTTCAGTAAGCTACAATTCTCACAATGCAAGATACACAACCAGCCAAAATAAGACAAGCGTGTTGTGTGTACAGATAGTCCTCAGCTTACAGCCACAACTGAGCCCAAAATTTCTGTCGCTAAGTAGGACAAGTTCGGTGAGCTTTGTCCCATTTTATCACCTTTCTTGCCACAGTTAAGTGAATCGATGCAGTTATTAAATTACTAACATAGTTCTTAAATGAATCTGCTTTCCCCATTAACTTGACTTGTCAGTTCGCAAAAGGTGATCACATGACCCCAGGACACTGCACCTGTCAGTTGCCAGTTGCATCTGAATTTTGATCATGTGACCTTGGAGATGCAACGGTTGCAAGTGTGAAACACAGTCAAAAGTCACTTTTTCAGTGCCATTGTAAAGTCACTAAAGAAATGGTTGTAAGATGAAAGCTACCTGTACAGCGTACAGTGATCTATGACAGGGATCTCCAACCTTGACAACTTTAAGCCTGGCGGACTTCAACTCCCAGAATTCCACAGCCAGCTTTGCTGGCTGGGGAATTATGGGAGTTGAAGTCCGCCAGGCTTAAAGTTGCCAAGGTTGGAGACCCCTGGTCTATGAAATAAGCAGTGAAATAATATGTATTAGATGTGGTGCCTCATCTTTCTTTATTCTGGAAGCAACTTCAAAATATTGGAAGGGGGGGGAAGACTAATCTCCCATCTCCATCAAAAGCAACGAATCCTGCAAACGGAACCCCCATTTCCCTCCCAAACCGATTTTTTCTAAACCAAGAGTTTACAAAATCCGGAAGGCCGAAGGCCCCGTCGGTCCTCCCAGCAAACGAGTTCCGATTATATCTCGGCGGCGTCCGCGAGGTACCTCAACGTAGGAGGTGGGGGGAAGAAGAAAGCCTGCCGGTCGCTCTGGCCGGAGCGCGGGCACGCGCGCGTGCGTTCTCTGTGGCGCGCATCTTCCCCCCCCCCTCCACCTCCCCTCCCGCCTCTTGAGGGGAATTGGCGGGAGCGGCCCGGTGAGGGTCGCGGCCCTGCAGTGCGGGCTCCCGGCCGGCTTGAGGGGGCGCTGCGCCGGGAGGGCCGCGTTGGGAAGGCGGGTGTGGGGAGCGCGTGTGTGCTCGGCTCCCTCCTTCTCTCTGTATCGGAGAGGCAAAGCGGCCCGGTTTCTGCCATCCCGGCGCTGTGGTAGCGCCGCCCGCGGGGGTCCGGACGCGGGGGAGGCCGCCGCCGCCGCCGCCATTGCCATCACCATCACCATCACCGCCATGAAGGACTGCGAGTATCGGCAGATCCCGCCGGGCACCCCGGCTGCCCCCACCGCATCTGGACCCCCGAGCTCCGTAGCCACCAGCACCGCCCCCGCGACTCTGGCTTCGCGGCCCCGCCGCAAATGGGAGGTTTTCCCCGGGCGCAACCGGTTCTATTGTGGCGGGCGCCTCATGCTGGCGCGGCACAGCAGCGTCTTTCTCCTCACGGTCGGCCTCATTGTGGTCACCAGCGGCCTCTTCTTCGCCTTCGAGTGAGTCGCGGGTGGGTGGGTGGGTGGGGGGCGCGTGAATCATCTTCTCCCGCGTCGCTTTTATGGACGATGCCTCCCTCAGGTCGCTCCCTCCTCCTTTTTTCCTGCCTTCCCCAATAAGGTGGTCTCCAAATCGGTGGGCACTGCAACTCCCCGAAAAGGCTCCCTCCCGCGGCCGGGGATGCTGGTTGTTGTGGTCCCCGCCCATCTGGAAGCCACCAAAGTGGGATGGACAGCACAGCACCCCACATTCTGAAATGTGTTACTGCAAGGAAAGGTTTCCTGGCAAACAGGGAATTCTCTGGGACTTCCTCCTAGGTAAGGTCATAACAAGAGTGTAGCCAGATTTGCTGCAGATGTTTTACTCAGGATCCTGTCATGTCAATAAGGCTTTTAAGTAAGGTGCTAAGTTAATGGCATATGTCTAGGAAGATTCTCAGTCCTCCAGGTCATGGTTGTCCCAAAGGTGCTTTTTTCAAAAGACAACTTGACTTTCTGGTTTTTCTTTGAAGATGTTTCGCTTCTCATCCAAGAAGCTTCTTCAATTCTGGCTGAATGGTGGGCAAGGAACGAAAGAAGTGAGAAAGAGAAGGAGGGAGGAAGGAGAGGGAGGAAAGCAGGAAGAAATTGAAGTCTATGGAGATTCTCAGGCATCCAGGTCATGGTTGTCCCAAAGGTGCTTTTTTTTCAAAAGGCAACTGGACTTTCTTGTTTTTTTCTTTGAAGACGTTTCGCTTCTCCTCCCAAGAAGCTTCTTCAGCTCTGACTGATGGTGGGGAATGGAAGGATTAGTGGTATACGCTTTTGTGGACTAGAACCTGTTGCTTCAGATTAGAATCTAGTCCTCGGTGGTAAATATATTACATTAGAATTGAATTGCAGTGGGGTTAGATTTGTTTTAGCCTTTCACATATACCCTATATTCAATCATTATAACTGATAATTTCAAGAGGAAGGAAATTTCAGTATAGTAATTGGCACCTGCTACTCTAGCTGGAATCATATACGTTGCAACATGGAAAGCTGTACAGGTAGTCCTCAATTTACGACCACAATTGAGCCCAAAATTTATGTTGTTAAATGAGACATTTGTTAAGGGAGTTTTGCCTCATTTTACAATTTTTCTTGCCACATTTGTTAAGCGAATCACTGAAGTTGTTAGTAACACGGTTGTTAAGTGAATCTGGCTTCCCCGTTGTCTTTGCTTGTCAGAAGGTTGCAGAAGGTGATCTCATGACCCCAGGACACTGCAACCTGTTGTCAAGCATCCAAATGTAAATCACCTGACCATGGGGATGCTGCTACAATCGTAACTGTGAAAAATGGTCACAGGTCACTTTTTTCAGTGCCATTGTAACTTTGAACATTCACTAAATGAACTGTTGTAAGTCGAGGACTACCTGCAATATGGATTGCTTGGTCTTAGCTTACACATTTAGTAAACTCAACCATTGTCTGTGGGCATTTGGTGTTTCGGGGGGAGAGATGAAGCCCAATACCATTGTAATACAGGAACCCTCAGGGCTCAAGCCTCTCTTCTCTCCTCTTTAATATTTACATGAAACCGCTAGGTGAGATTGTTTGCTGGCAAGAGATGCTGCATCATCAGTACACTGATAATACCTAGTTATACATTTCCACCACTGGGCAATTGACATCATAGTGCTGACCAATTGCCTGGATGCTGTGATGGTTAGATGGGCAGGAACTAACTTCAACTACTTCAACTGGACTCTGGCAAGACAGAGTGACTTTGGGGTTTTTGTCCCCAAGGTTCTATATCATCTTTGATTGTCGATGGACTTACACTCCCCTGGACTTTTCTAGTACACAATGGACTGATGGTTCCTGCTCAAAGAGCAGGTGGAAGTCCTGCCTAGAGGGACATTTACACAAACTTCTTTTGTATGCCAGTTGTATTCTTTCCTGGACCAAGATGCCTTTCCTCATGGTCACTCACACCTTAGCAATTTCTGTTTTGTTTACTTCAATGTGCTCTACATGGCACTACCTTTGAAGACCACCCAGAAGCCACAATTGAGCCAGAAGTCACAACTGAGCCAGAACGTAGAAGCAGGCACAGCTTTCTACGCCCCTACATTTGCCTGGATTACTTCCCTGATGTGCAAGTTGCACTGGCTTCCAGTCTCCTTCCAGGTGCAATTCAAGGTTCAGATTATTACCTTTAAAGCCTTAAGTGGCATGGGACCAGGTTATTTGCTAGACTGTAACTGCCCTTCCCATTAGATCAGATAAGTGGCAGATTCCAGGTTCGTTCCATGAAATGTTGGCATCTATTGGTACTTAAGAACCATGCCCTATCTTACGGAAAACTGCCCCCTCCCCAGTAATCCAACAGGCCTCCACCCTTTTAGTTTTCCTGTAAGCCATAAAAACCTGGCTCTTCATCCAGGTAGAGTCATGGGAGTCTGCGGTTGATTGCTGGGGCACCTTGTGAGGATGATTGAGGTGTTAGCTTTTTAGTTTGTTTTTTGTAATTTTATGGTTGTTGCAAGTTGTCCAGAAGTTTGCTTATAAAATGGGCAGCTATACAAATTGTTTAAATAAACAAACCTGAAAGGAATAGTCCTCCAATTAAGGATAATTTAAGAGGAAAGTGACTGTTCAGACAAAATAAGGCATCTTATCCCATTATATAGTTGTTTATGTGAAACAGTTGGAAGTGGACATCGTTAATCAAGAGGATCATTAAGTTACAGCAAATTATTGGCTAAAGATATAGCATTAATTGTTCCAAAACTCTAGTTATATATTTTAGAAACCTTTGATTTTAAGGTCTCTAAAATCGAGAATTTTAGTCATAGGTTCAGGTTAATCTTGCAAAAACAGAACTTCGAATTTTTATTGTACAAGTATTTAATGGACAATAAAAAATAAATACAACCATTGATGTTAGGTTTTCTTTTACTCCAAAGGGTTTAAATAATTTATAACTAATTTAAAAAACAGCATCCAAGCTGATTTGACTAACTGGTTGAAGCAAATCTTTCTTGATTTGAAGAAATACATTTCAAAGTTCATAATGAAAGAATGGCAGCATATAATTGGGTGGAGCTGTGATTAATTTTATAATCTGGAGGATTAAGAAAGACTAGAATTTTCAGACAATATTTTTTAATTGCAGTTTATTTTAGTTGGATACAAGACTAGCCTTTCAGAGCAACATTTAGCTGGAAATAACATTTTAACATTGACATTTCTTCTTTGGTCATATCCTAAAATTAAGTGATTGGTAGAACCACAATTCTGGCTGTAACTTTGAGAATATATGACAGATGGGGAGCATTACAATCACATAAGTAAATCTTAAAAACAGCATAAAAAATGTTTAGAGTCTAAATTTTAAAGCTGACATCTTCTAGTATTGTTTGGCCTCCCTAGAGCATGTCACCAAAATACCTAATGTTTCACTTCAAACATGGAGAGAAAACAAGAAACAAATATTTTCTTTCCCTCTAGAGAAAAAGCATTTGGAGAAAGATACTGTATCTGCTGTTTAAAAACTAAAGTTTACAGTTTTAGAATGTTGTATAGTGAAGACATCTTGCATTGCAAGAAGGTTTCAGGTGTGGAGTCAACAACCTTGGGTAGGGAGAATTGGCAGTTGTCATTTGACATATTTGGGAAAGTTTTAGGGGCACTGCCCCACAGAACACTAGGCATGAGACCCCTGCTTGTTAAATTGGGCTTTACGTTTCAGTTGAAACTGTTGGCTGTTATAAACTTGTATTGCCTGAACTCCTTGACTGGGTGGATGGGCTAGTAGTAGAGTTCCTCAGATTTGTGCACAAAATTGTTTTTACATAGCCAATTCAAAGAATGGTATCTCTTATTAATACAGTCAGATCTAGTTTTATTTGTTAAGAACCCAGTTGCAAAATCAATAGAACCCTAGTTGACTATGTGAACTGAAATTAAACTATAATGTGGGAGATTCTAGGTTAGGCACAGTGTTAAGGGAAAAATGCTCTAAGTGCTATCTATATAGTATTGTTTTTGAGAAAGACTTACATCATTGAACAAGTATATACTGAAAGCATTTAGCAAGTTTTATCCCAGAAATATGCTATAAATCCTGTCTGTGAGATAGGTATCTTTGTATCTTTTTCCTAAAAGTTTTAAGAGAGCTAAGCAGGTTATGATATAATATTTGTTAGTTGAAGGAAGCAGCTTGGCTAGGAAAAGAAACCAAGCAATGAGTGGAAAATTAGTGTGACAAATGGAAATTCAGTTTAAATAATGTTTTCTTTACTTTTCAGCTGTCCATTCCTGGCTCATAACTTGACCATGGCCATTCCTATCATTGCTGGCATCCTGTTCTTTTTTGTCATCAGCTGTTTGCTACAAACCAGCTTCAGAGATCCCGGTATTTTGCCCAGAGCCACCCCCAGTGAAGCTGCAGATCTGGAGAAATGGATTGGTGAGGCTTATTGCATTTCTTTATGGAAAAATATATAAGGGATGCTATTAATGGTATTTATCCAGAATTGTCACCCTGGCATTTTCATTCTTGAAATTATCTATAGAAAGTGTGCATGTCGTGTCAGATCAGGGCCATTTTATGCTTTAGTCTTTGACTAATTCCAATAATTAGTCTTTGACTAGTTGATAGGAATCCATAATCTAATAGTTACACATTTTACTTCTGAAACTTTTATATATCCTGGTTCTTTCTTTTGCTTAAACTTTACAGCAGGCTTATATAACCATAGTATATAGAACCTAGAGATATCATATTCACAAAATGACATATGATCAGTCAACTTTTTCATATTTTTAAAGTGGTAGCTACAGAGATATTAACAGAAACAATGAAGAAAGGTCCGTTTGGATTGTCCTTTTAATTTTTGAGGTAATGTAGTTTTTAAACATCCTTTTTCCTGGCCTTTTTAAAATTGATTTACACCAACTTTAAGTGAATGATTCTGAATACGGATTGTTTGAAACATCCCACTATAGTGCATCTCAGAAATCATAATAACAGTGCTTAGATATGAGGATTAACATATTTGTATATATTAGTCTGAAAGAATTGCTTCAGGAGTGAATTCTATTTTTCATTTGTGGCCTGCTACAGTTCAGATAACATGCTATCATTTCAGAAAGACAGCAATGAATGATGTGGATGGGTTGTTTGGATCTTAGTTTAGATGGAGACTTGATAGAAGATTATCAATATGCATTCAATCCTTGCTTTAGTCTGGTATTAGTCAAATCTTGGATGAGTCTAAGAGGTGAATATTTTTGATTTCACAGACAACCTCGGCACTTCCACTTATCGGCCACCTGCCCGAACCATGGAAGTTGTAATAAACAAGTATATGGTGAAATTGAAATATTGCTACACGTGTAAAATGTTCCGTCCACCCAGGACTTCCCATTGCAGTGTCTGTGACAACTGTGTTGGTAAGATCAGAGTGAGACTTTTATCCTGTGAACAATCAGGATTATCATTTCCATTAAGTTATTTTTCTGCTTTTGTTGAATGCAGAAGCATTTGAGTTCACATTTTGTGTTGTATGTTCTTTGTTTAAATTTGATTGTTCCTCAGAGGATAATTCTGAATATAATAGAGAGGGTTTCTCATTCTGCTTGTGCTTAGGAGTATTTCCTAAGTAGAAAGATTTCCTATTCAGGTAGAAACTTCCCAAACTCACATACAGTGATTCAAAAAGAGGATTATCAAGGTTTCTTGTGATAATATCCAAAGGTGCCTGCTATTCAAAAATATGCCTGGATGCGTGAGTGTAATATTGTAAAGTTTGAATCTTGCCTTCTTTGAGCTGCAAGAGAATATTTAGAAAAGTCTGAGCAATGAAGAATAAAGGGCGCTGAGTATGATTTTGCTTCAAGATCAGCAAGATTTCAGACTTGGTTAATTCTTTTTTTTCTTTCCCAATCACCATTCTTTCTACTTGTCTGTCAAACAAATTGCCACCCCAATAAACATCCCTCTGAAAAAGAGTACCTACTTCAGATTGGAAAGCCTATGTCTCTCTGCTGAGGTGCTGTAATGGTGAAAGTACATGATATAAGGCAGGGGTGAAATCCAGCAGGTTCTGACAGGTACTGGAGAACCGGTAGCGGAAATTTTGAGTAGTTCAGAGAACCAGCAAATACCACCTCTGGCTGGTCCCAGAGTGGGGTGGGAATGGAGATTTTGCAGTATCCTTTCCCTGCCATGCCCACCAAGCCATGCTTACCAAGCCATGCCACACCCACCAAGCCACACCCACAGAACCAGTTGTAAAAAAATTTGGATTTCACCACTGATATAAGGTATATCTGGCTTTTCTACCGTGTCTCTCCCCCCCCTCCAAAATAAGACTGGGTCTTATATTAATTTTTGCTCCAAAAGACGCGTTATGGCTTATTTTCTGGTTAGGTCTTATTTTTATTGATTGATTGATTGATTGATTGATTGATTGATTGATTGATTTGATTTATATGCCGCCCTTCTCCGGAGACTCAGTGTGGCTTACAATGCGATTTTGGGGGAAATATAGTACCAAACATTTTAACTAGGGCTTTTTTGGGGGGGTAGGGCTTATATTACAAGGATTCTGAAAAATGATGCTAGGGCTTATTTTCTGGTTAGGTCTTATTTTCGGGGAAACGGTATATGGTCACAATATGAATATATTATATTAATTAAAGAGCTTCCACTGGGAAGAAAAGGTGACTGGATGAATGTATGGCACTGGTAACTGAATTTTTAAATGTGCTAAGGTATATTTGGTGGCTGCAAGCAAGGATAAGTGACAGGCAGATATTAAGAATGATGAGAATTACTGAAAACTTAAAGAGCAAAGAAGTAGCAAGCCATTTCCACTTTTAAGGAGATGTTCATTTCTTTCATTCTTGAAGCATTTGTAATAATGAAATATTCCTGTAGCACATGTTAGTTGGGGAAAATAGTTACAGGCATATCAAGACATGAACCAAAGTGTGGTCACACCCAAAAAAACTAAACCTTGCCAGGATGTATCACTCTTTAGGGCAAGGGGAAGGTGTGGGTGAGGCAGTCTACTTTTGAAGTAGATCATTGCATTCTTGAATTGACATTTTCCCCTCTTTTTGAGGGCAGTGAGTTATCTTTAATGAATCCAATCTGAATAGAAATCTACTTTATCAGCCAATTTCATGTATAGTCATGGTTTTAAACAATAGAGCGAACACAGTTATTGACTCAAGAGCTATATGACTACACCTATGTTAGATTAAATTGCCTAGCAAGAGAGGACAGGCATATCTGACAAAGCCAACAAAAAGGTTTTGCTATGAGAAATGGTAAACTGTTTAGGCACATGTATAATATCTTTCTTCAATGTACTTTAAGCAGATCGTGAAAAGGAAGAGAGAGTATCTAAGGGAGCACACAATAAACTGCAAATAGAGCGGATAAAATTAAAGTTTGGATAGCATTGGCATACAATTTGAATGGCATTGACATTTCTTGAATAAGTAAGATAGCTAATGTTTGTCTTGAAACAATTTGCCTGGCTGTAATAATGCTATATAATGAGAAATACACATTTTAACAGAGCTGATAATACCCAAATGTTGACTGATTTGAGATCAAGTTCCTAATAATTTACCTGTTGAAAGGTGAAATTGTGGGATGGAAATAGGACTTTGAATAATTATCTATGAGTTCATAGGTGGTGATCCGTGCAGCCTGGAACAGCTGATAGGCGGTATTCCAGGAAGCTGATCCAACCGCCAATCAGCTGATCGTGCTAATCAGGCTGTGCTGAAGCTGGCCAAGCTGTTTGCTGTTTGCTGCAAGAAGGCAAATTGCTAGGAGGCAAAGGAGAAGCAGATTTTTTTTTTCTTGTTTTCCTCCCCCAAAGCTAGGTGCGTCTTATAGTCCAGAGCTTTTTATAGTCCGAAAAATAGGATAATTGCTTTCATCCTTCATATGGGTCCATGATATCTGAGGAACTGTTTCACCCTGATGGGACTAGCCCATCCCACTCATTCCAGAAGAAAGGACTTACTTTGGATCTCTTCAGCCAAAGAATTTCAGCTGGCAGGGTTCAGGCGATAAGCCTTTTCTGCTGTGGCCCCCACCCTCTAGAAAATTCTCCCACCTGGGGTGGGGTCTACCCCCACACTCCTGGCCTTCTGGAAGAGCCTAAAAATGTGACTCTGCTATTTGGCCTGGGGTCCTGATAGGTGCCTGCTGCATTGGGGTTGCTGATCAGGCAGAGAAGATCAGCTCCAGGCCACCTATCATCTTGCTTTTTAGTTTTTCTATTCCATTTTTCTCATTTTAATTGTTTTCTAGATCTTTTTTTACATTTATTATATTATAAGCCTCTTCCCCCCCCCCCCCCCCAGTATCAATGAGATGGGTGACAAATAAATAAATTAATAAATTAATGTAATAAATGAATTAATATTCCCATCAAAATGTTGGCAGTTGTCAAGCAGATTGAAATTTCTAATGGTTTTATCATAGCATTTTGATTTTTTCCAAATATGTGGATAGGAGTGTCAAGGAAAAGGGGAGATGTCAGGGAGCTAAGATAATCTATTTTTAAAAGTAGAATAATAACTCAGGTATACCGGTAGATATATATCCTTTTCTTGATATTCATGAATGACCTTTCTTTGCTGTATCCCAGCATTGAATTGATTTGGATGTATTCGAAATTGTTCTGCCTTTCTGCATTTTTTCCAAAGTGATCCTCTGGGAAAAATTTCACCATGGCCCAAAGAACCACAATGCTTTTCTAGTTCCTAGTTTATTTACCTTTAGTTGCCAACTCGTTCTTGACACTGTCATTTCCCTACTTAGTGAAAAGAATTATTTCACTTTATTGTTTCAGCATCCTGAATGCTTCCATTTTACTAAAATGCTTAGTCCTTCTTTGTTACTCCTAAGCCCCAAAGGTTTGCCAATGCATAGCTTTGTAAGCTGCAAATAATTAGTTTCCTAGTTGTTTGCTACATCAACAAATCTGATGAACGTATCTGCGAGTTGGGTTTCTGGAGAAACGCATATTAGAACTGATCCTCCTGCCTATTATCTTGTCTGTCCCCAGTGTCCTCTGCAGTCTATTTCTGGCAGTTCAATACTGGAGGGAAGCTAGTATTATATGCATTACAAGTAAATCTGGCATCCTAATTTCTGAACAAACACGTTAACTCTGGTTGAATGACTTGTGCGAATGAACTTTTCATTCCCTTTTCATTCAGTTATGTGTCTCTCATTCTAATACAATGGTAACCAGTTCCCTAAAGCTAGTAGTCAGATCTCAATTCAGTAAACTTCTTGTTGATATTTCAGCAGAAAAGCTAATGTTGATTGCTATCAGCGAAAAGAAAATTTAAAAACCACAGGCTATTTCATATTCCTTTCTTTTTGTGTCTTTGAGTGAGTGTTGACTTCTGGTGGGTCCCTGGGCATGTCCCTTCAGTTTTCTTGGCAAGATTTTGGAAATGGTTTACCGTTGCCTTCTTCTTAGGGCTAAAAGAGAATGATTGGCCCAAGGTCACCCAGCTGATTTTGTGCCTAAGGTGGGCCTAGAGTTTACAGTCTCCCAGTTTCTAGCATGAGGTCTTAATCACACCAAATTGGCTCATTTAATATTTTAGAACTCTCATTACATACACATTACCAAAAGAGAGCCTGATCCTAATGTATTGTTTGTTTGCAATGTTTACATTTCATTTTTTCTAAGAATTCAAAAAAACATATACAATGGTCCCCCTCCCATTTTATTTTAACAGCAACTTTATGAAATAAGTAAGACAGCAAGAGACAAATAACTGACCCAAAGTCGCCCAGTGAGTTTCATGACTGACTGACTGACTGACTGACCGTAGACCTGAATGGGGTCCTTTGGAATCCAGCACTAACCATTGGTTACCCTCATCCTCTAAAATTGTTTTCTGCATCACTTGTAAAATACATGAGGGATGTGTACAAAGAGTGTCGATCTGGGAAAATATCATTTTGGGAATTCCAAAACTTTTCATTTCCTTCCAGGTCACAGTGAACCTCCTTTGGACCATACTGTTGTACTGGCAGTTGTATAATGCTTAAAATAAATTCTCTGGAGCAGAAGTGATTCTTGATGTTCTGAATGTAATTTTCTAAATAAAATTGGACCAAATAAAAGTGAGCCAAACCATCCTTGGCACATCTCAAACTACTTATGATCCAGAAAAGTTGCTTTCAGAGATTAACAAACTATAAACCTGCAGTGCCATGTTCTGGAGTGAATGAAGATGGAAATAAAACAGTCAAAGAGTTCTGAATTCCTAGAACAATTTGTTCCCAGATTGGCATATTATGTACAGTCCAAGTACCGGTATATATCCTCCTTGAGCATGTGAAATGTCATTCCCTTTAATACTGTGTTTTTGTTCCTTTTCCCCTCAGAACGATTTGATCATCATTGCCCCTGGGTAGGCAACTGTGTGGGGAAGCGGAACTATCGATTCTTCTATGCCTTCATCCTCTCTCTCTCCTTCCTAACTGCCTTCATCTTTGCTTGTGTCATCACCCACCTTGCTCTGCGTAAGTATAGCCTGTTGTCAAAGTTGAATGTCACAGAGCTCTAGGAAAGTGTGAGGAAGTTCACTGTGTCTTAAGTCACAACTGAAGAAAGAATTATTTAGAATAGATATGCATGAACTCCCATTCCAAATCTACATTGGCCCCTCCTAACCCTCAGATACAAACCCAGGAATCTCCTGAAAAACTGTCAAATAGTATTTTTAATGAGGGCATTTATTAAATATGTAGAAAGTAATAATAATACCTACAATAAATAAATAAATCAAAAAACGAATGTGTGCCATACAGTAGCCAAACAAAGATGTTACTATAAATATCTGTAACAAAAATAACATTGAATAGATTTGTTAATGTACTAAATTTGAGCAATCCTATATATTAACCCTTTCCCAATCTAAGCATGTTGGATTACAACATCTTTAGTTCACAAAATCAGTTTCAAGAGGGAGTTACTTGTATGGCTCAAAACCTCTTTTCTATCTGAGATGCTGGGGATCAGCACTGTTTAATCTTCTGTACGTTTTTGTGGTTAGAGAAGGAAAATAGGAAAAGGAAGGAATATCAGATATGGTTCACCGCCTTGAGTTATTTATAACAATAATAAAGGCAAGATGAAAAAAAAATCTCTAAAAAATTCCTTCCTTTATCTCAATGTCTGTTTGCTTTGCAGGCTCCCAGGGAAACGATTTCCTCACTGTTTTGAAAACAACACCAGCAAGATATCCTTTCAATATCTGTTTCTTCCCTCTTCCACTTAAAAATCCTTGATAGTGTTTTTTGAATGTATTCAACAAGAATTGATCATAAATGGGAATCTGAGCAGTTCGTGGGAGTGACAGTCCTAACACATGTAGAGAATGTAAAGTGGGAGTTGGCTGATCTAGGGAATGAAGAAGACTTTCTCCCAGACCTTTTGTCCCCCTTCCCTTTTGGCAGGTGTTTCCTAAAATCTGGTATTCATTTGGTCCATGCAACTTGGTGATTCAAAAACCGTAAAAATAAAAATCCAGTGCCCTCTGTAGAGGTCATCCTTTAGTGATGATTAGCTGAGGCAGGCCTGTCTCAAATTTAATATCTCAAAGCCAGATGGGGACTTTTTGATTTCCCCAAGGTTTTTTCAATCTGTGTTTTAACTTGACTTGTAGCTGTGCTGTTGTTGCACTGTTTCACTCTGTGGCTATCATTTGCTTTATTGCTCATGGTTTAGCTTTGTCTGTAAATCCGTTTTGAAAATCTTTTAAATAGGATTAAATAGCAAAGTATTAAAACAGCTGGGGACTCTTTGTCCTGAAGTGCAGAATACATTTTCCCCTGATGAATTTATTGTATCATTAATTATGTCTTTGGGTTTATTTGTATATCATCTTTCCTTAAAAAATTATGCTGAAGTGGCTCAGATGCATTTGGTGGGTGGTGACTACTGGTAGGAGTAAAACTTTGGCAGAACTTCAGCAAAATGAATGCTCCTCAGTCACAAGTATTATTCCTTAATTCCTAATTTACTCTGTTGGAATTGGTGATTTGTTTTTTTTCAGTCTGGTCTATTTTTGGCCTCTCAGGGTTTCACACTTACTTAATTGCCTCCAATTTGACAACCAATGAGGATGTGAGTAAAAATATTGTTTTCAGTGAATAGAAGTTTAACATTCCAAATAGCCATCATGACAGCTTTAAATCGGTTTCTTGAAAGGCACAAGATTATGTTTAAAATATTCTTGCTTTGTTTTGTTCTAAAGCACAGTGGCTATAACATTTATCGTTGGTGAAAAGAGAGACATTTCTGCATTCCAAAATAAGGAAAAAGGGCCTTTATTTCTAATGAAAAGATTTGAATAATATTCTAATTTTTAGATTGGACAACTCATAGCCTCCCATAATGTCTAGGTGGTATAGCCAATGATTTGGAACAGCTGGCCTTTACTTAAATTAATAAATGTTTCAAGATATCTGTGGTGGGAAGGGCAAGCGATACCACAACCCAGTCATTTATGTACCTGTATCTGATAATCAGGATACAAATATGAGTTTGCATGTTTTGTCTTTCTTTTGGGGGGAGGGGACCTTATAGCAGACACCTATGGCATCAGTTCTGTAACCTGACTTCCTACACATATATATGCAAATATATCATGGGACTAGTTTTATCTGATGTATAGTTAACTGTGACTCTCATCTAAGTAAAGACAAACCAGCAAAAGATTTTCTGGATTTTTCCTAACCAATTAATCTCTTTTGGATTGTAGCTCAAGGGGGCATGGTCAAATAAGAGAGGTTCTGAATTTGCCAACCCCTATAGCCATAAAAGTGTCCTAAACAACTGCTGTGCAGTGCTCTGTGGGCCATTTTACCCCAGGTAAGGAAACATGTTCCTAGATGGACTCTGTATTCAAATGCCTGATGAATGATCCTGCAATTGCCTCTTGTTCCTGTTTTCTGCAGCCATTCATGCAGGTAGAAAAAAAGAGAACAGCAGCCAGTACTTTATGATCATGAGAATGACCCTTCATTCACACAGTGAGAAATATATAGGTATTGTAAAAATGAAAGTTAAGTGGGGGAATTTGGTGTCTTGACTGATACAAAATAGTTCCCTTTGTGTAAAACAATGCAAATTATGGACTTAGAAAACCAAAACAGAAAGAAATGAAAAAGGGGGAAAGAAGAGAGCTAAGGAAGTGGAAACGACAGGGCTAGAAATTAAGTTTTAAAACATACATATTGCTGGGTGAAAGTGTTTGTCTGCCAGAAACAAAAGTTCTAAATTCACTCTTTTTTCGCTAACTAAAAAATATAATTTTCTACAGTTTAATGCCTGCTCTTGAGGCAACTATCTTTGTCAGCTTAATGGTTGTCCTAATCATTGAAATTGGTTAGGATACAATGTAATGATGTCAGTCTTCATCGGAAAACCTCATTCTGCCAAATGGCTTACATAGACTTTATAAAAACAAGCCATTTCTGCCAGTGAAGTTACAGTTTAGACCATAAGAAAGAAAAGGGTTGAAGAGACACAACAAAAGCATCAGATCTTACAATAAAAGCAGGTGTGAATTTGGGAGATAGAATATTCTGTTTTTCTCCAGACCACTTTGATCTGGTTGTTCCTGGAGTTGTTTGGCCATTTCCCAAACGTTATAATCCCCAGAATGGCAAAGTGATCCAGAACATTCCAGTATAATCAACCTCTGAAATAAACTATTTTCAACACTCCTATAAAATAGCACAGGTAGTCCGCTACTTACAAGCACAATTGACCCCAACATTTCTGTTGCTAAGCAAGACAATTAAGTGAATCACTGCAGTTGTTAAGTTAGCAGCACTGTTGTTACATAAATCTAGCTTCCCCATTGAGCTTGCTTGTCAGAAATCACAAAAGGTGTGTTTAATGATCCAAAGACACTACAACCTTCATAAATACATGTTAGTTGCCAAGCATCCAAATTTTGATTGTGTGAGCACAGAGATGCTGCAACGATCATAACAATAAAAATGGTCATAAATCCCTTTTTTTGGTGTCATAACTTCAAACAATAACTAAACAAATGATTGTAAGGTAAGGACTACCTGTACTTATAATGACCTGCTGGAATGGAGACAGTTCAGAAAGATCAGCTGTTTAGAACTAATCTTTGAATAGAGCTGATGGAATATTCTATTTCCATCTTGTTCGGCTATAGCTTTTTAAGCAAAATTGATATTTGACAATTGCAATGAGGAATTTTCACTTAGGATACAGTTTCCTTGAGATCAGATGCAGCATTAAACGTAAATATTCTAGGTAATCTCATCATAAATCCTTGTTTAGTGGCAAGGAGCAGAATTAGGCAAAACAAATTATTATTTCAACACTTATTTTGAGATAGTACTAAAAATTATATGGAGAATATGTACAAAAAATTGTTGAGCAAGAGATTTCCTGTTTTATATTTTGGAAGGATAATTTGAATGAAGTTTTACATTTCTGTCTAGCTATTTTTCCTGGTTGACCTTAATATATCATTTATTTCTAGAATTGTAATGGAGAATAAGTTATAATATTCTGATGGAACCCTGCAAAATGTGTTTAGTATTTAGCAATTTTAAAGTAATTTCAGTAGACTGCTGTACTGTATAAATCAAGTGGGGCAGAGTTGAACCATATTCAATTTTTTTTGCCTCTTAAATGGAGCATTGAAGGTATTTTATTAATTTTTTCAAATGTTGGTTATTTATTTATATGGCTACCCAACTCACAATTTATCACTTTTTCCTGAAAAATCCCATGGGCATTTGACAAGTTGAGTTTATTTGATAGCTGCCTACTATAGTATTTACTTTTAAAAGTTCTGATCAACAATCAGATCAATCTACATAGACCACTTGCCTTTGTACTTCTATGTAATTCCTCACTAAATTATATCAAATTTCTTGTTTGTGATTGAAAGCCCAGTTAGAATTCTCATCCGATCTCTAATAATGAACTGATGGGGTAAATGAGAGAATTGTTGTTGCTTAATTGTTTTAGCATTATTTCTTATTTGCATAATTAATTAGTAATCTAACCTTTTCTCTCCTTTTTTCTTCCCCTCCTTGTCTGAATTGTCTAGTTTAATAGATAGAAGAGGATTTGTCCAGGCAGATGCTGGGACTCCCTCTACTCCTAAGGGTGAAATCCCTTCCTTTGGAACAAAATCTGATGCCAGCATGGTATGAGCCAACATTTTAGCAACGCTGACATACGTATCTTATGCCTACCTCCAGCTGGTGCCTCTCCTACCTTTTACCATTATCTGGGCTCAGGCAGACAGCTTCATGGAGCAGAATCTCCAGAATTCTTATTCAAACCAGAGGCCACTTTCTCTTGCATTGATTTTTAATTGGTTTGGTTTTTTTAATATTTTGGGACTTAACCGGCCATTTTTCACTGCTGCAGTTAAGGTCTAGGTAGGACCTGCCGTCATCTTGAGGGTTAAAATACTTAGAACAGCTGGTTGGGAGATTCCAGCTTCATGAGAAATATCTTTTATTGGAGGTTTTGTTGAAAAGATTGGTAGAAAAAGGCATAGCTACTTTGCATATGGAGGTGTTGTAACAGAATTGTCTCCTAAAGTATTCTGCATACTTTATTTGTTCCAACAATATTAATGTTACACTGTTTGTCCTGCCATTCTGCCTGAATATTGCAAAGAATAACTGATGCTTCTTAAACTGTAACATGAATCATTTGAAGACCCAGCACTACCTTGCTTTACCAGCAAATACTGCTTGCTGAGGAAATTAGCCTGAGTAGCTGTTTTGGGTAGAAGATAGAAGTTCCCTAGAAATGATTATAAAGAAAGTCTACAAAATCAGAAGCAGAAAATTGTTTCTCAGTCTGGGAATTGACTCAGGATTGTCCTTGTCTATTTCATCTGAATCAGGATCAGAACACTAAGCTTCTAGAGGTTATTTATTTAATAGTAGGAATGAAATTAAAGAGATCAGTTGGAAATTCTTAAATTATGTCATTCCAGATGAGTTGTATTTACCTGGTGCCTCTGGACAGCTGAGCCACTTTTGTATTGGGTTTGGAGATTTGTATAAGTAAGGCATGTGGACTAAAGGCCATTTCAGCAAAACCTTCATGTATACAAGCATTATCCAAAACAGAGTTATTATAAGAAGTCTTTTCACTTGGATCTCTGATCATTTCTTAAAGATTCTTAGGAGGGATCCTGCTTCCTCATGCTGAATTTTCTTACTGTCCCACAGTTCCCATCCCATGGCATGAGAGAGCCCTTGCCTATAGGGGGAAACTAGATACTTGAAATGTGTTTATTAAAAGCTGCTGGGAATTTTTGCACAAATTTTATAGTTTTTTTTCTAGCAATGTTATTTTGTCTTCTAAAGAGATCATTTTTACTATCTGTAAACCTGTGCCCAGAAGGTGTTTTTTAAGTGTTATATCTTATTTCTTGGATTTTACCAGCCAGTAGGAGGAAATGGGGAACCTGTAGAACTTGCTCATCCAAGGTGTTAGGTTTCATTTCTTGTACTGTAGTCGAAAACATCTAGAAACTGCCTGGATGGGTTAATCAGCTATGCAACAGTAATATTCTCCCTACTGACCTTTGAAAACTGGGGTTTAAAAGAAATTGAATAGGATTTTATATTTCCAAGAAAACAAAGAATAAGCACATAAGTGTATTATCCATCCTGCTTCTGCAGAAGAACTGAGAAGCACCCTTTTTGTGTAAAGAAAAAAAAATGCAGTCACTGTGGTCAGGAGTTTCCCACCATTCTCACCTTTCTGCCAATATATTCCACTCACTGTTGTGGGCTGTGTTTTGAGTAGCTCCATCATATTCAGCAATGGAAACCATTGCTCTGGGCATCTGGCTGACTTTGATAGGAAGATTGAGTTGAGAAGCAAGTTGTCCAAATCCTTTAAGCTGAATCATGACAACTGATCTGAAGTAAGGTTGCTCATCTGTAGGTATATTTTTGTACCCTTCCTAAAATGTTTGACATTACTAGAAGGAATAATGCTGTATCTTCAGCATGTCTGTTCTAAGTTGGAGCACTTCATGAAGAAGAACAAAGCCAATTAACTGCTCTGGCATTTCTTTGCCTGTTTTATATTTTGGTTAGTTTTTCTGATAAATTAAAGTTGCAAGAATGGGTAGTACATATCACCGGTGCTCCCTTTCTGAAGTTTGAGTCTGATTTTAAAATCAGCTGAGGCATTAGGCAAAAGCCACTTAGATGTTCTGATGAGGTGCAGAAGCTTCCATAGCAGCTTCCAACAGCTAAATATGGCTGCTGTGATATGTGATATAATTGTATTTATATTCTGATGCATGCCACACCTAAGAAAGCCTCTGTATAACTCTCAGAATCTCCAGAAGTATTGCTGATCTGAGGACTCCACTTTCTGATCACTGTAGAGCAGGGGTCTCCAATCTTGGGAACTTTGAGACTTGTGGACTTCAACTCCCAGAAAAGCTGGCTGAGGAATTCTGGGAGTTGAAGTCCACAAGTCTTAAAGTTGCCAAGGTCGGAGAGCCCTGCTGTAGAGCATACTTCTCATTCTGAGACAGTTACGAGGTCTTTTCCAATGGTATGCTGGCTGATGTATGGGAGAGTATTTTTATTCTGTGCCATTTAGATAAGTGCCAAGGCTGGGGTATTTTAATAATAGTAGGCTTAAACTTAAAGATTGAGTCTGCTACATCATCGGTTCTGCCCTTTAAGATCCCTGGACTCAGTGGAGACAATATCTGTCTCTCCTGGTTTCTATCACCTTGCATGTCTCTGAACAGCTGAACTGCTCTTGTTCCCAGAGCAGCCACTTCCATGGCTCTCAACTGGTTGGTGTTTTTTTGGAGGTAGCCTTATCTGTAATCACTTATATGTGAGAAGTTGGCTAATGGAACCCAAATGGATCTTGGAGCTACAGTAGGTGCTCAAAATAATGTGGTTTTGATCTCCAGAAGGCTGTTCATAACTTATTTCTTTCAGAAATTTAATCAGAAGGGAAGGGGAGAAGATAATTCTGGAAGAGTTTTTATTGTTAGGAAAGAGAAGAGTTGTTTCTTATTGAAGAAAAGTTTGTGTTGCTCTCTAAGGCATTACTGTATAACTTGGCGGGGAAAGAAATTGTAAGCAAGTGTTCCATTTGTGTGGGAAACACTCTTACGATGACTAAATCTTTTGTAATAAAAATGTTTTTTTAAAGAGCTAATTGTTTTCAGTTTTATGTTTCCATTTTCCTTATTTGTTAAATTAAGACAAATTAGTATTTGAATATCTTCTAGACCAAGAAGCTGAATTTGGGCAATTTCAGGGCTGCTGATTCTGGAACCCAGCAGGCATAGAAACGGATGCTGGACATAATTCCTTATAATGAAAGGTGGAGATTGGAGAAAGATGAATCTGTGTCCTGTTAATTGGAAGTTTTGTTTTAGTGCAGGGGTCCCCAAACTTGGCAGCTTTAAGACTTGTGAATTTCAGCTCCCAGAGTTGAAGTCCACAAGTCTTAAAGCTGCCAAGTTTGAAGATCTCTGTTTTAGTGTATTGCTTCAGAGTTGCTGTAACTAAAGCTAGTCAGAAAGAATGCATTTAACTGCTCTCGCACAGCAGCTGTGTGCTATGTCTGTCTTCTCTCACTTCCCTACCATCCCAACCTGTTCCCCAAACCCAAGCCTGCCACAATACATAATCTCTGGTATCTTCTTCAGGAGGATGCCTGCCAGGACTTTGCGATATCTTGCACTGCCTGATGGGATAGTCCCTCCCCACAGGATGGGTTAGTACTGCTCTCTGAAGGTTAGCTGGTAAGAATTTTTTTCTTCCTCGCCATCACCCAGTGATTCATCTCATTCTCACCACATGAGTGTTCCAAGTCTCAGTCTGAATTGTTCTCCATGGTTACGGGTCAATCATCCATCCATGGCTTAAGCTTCAAGGAGGGTTCTAAGGTTTATAAAGTGCCAAGAAGGACTTGAGGGATAGACAAGGAACCTGTGGAGCAAGGCAGATAAAACACTATATAAATAACTAAATAACATCAGGATGAAGAGGTGGACATTATGAAAGGCTGCACTCAACATTGGGAAGGCTTGAGCTAGGGTGAAAATGTTAAATTTTAGCACAAGAGACATCTGTTGGCTTTGTCATTGGCGAGCCATGATATATATTTGGCTATGGCTGTGCTATTACTGTCTCCAAGAGATTAATTCCTGTAGGTTATTATCTTTGGTGAGGAAGTACATGTCATCAGATCTGCCGCCTCTCCTTTCCCCCCTTAAGAAAGAACAAAGCTGGAGAATATTTTTAGTTACTTTACTCATTAATCTTCTTTCCTTGCCTTACATCTCTTATATTCTTGCATAGAAAAAGCAATTGTTGCTTACTGGTATTTAAGTGAAGGCATCTAAAGGAGAAGCAACTGGGACAACAAGCAATCTGTAAAGCTAACTATTTCTCTTTGGTGTCGTAAACAGATTTGCATAGGGCAAAGCAAAGGAAGAATTCTGGACCTTTAGCCATCTGCCTATATTCCCAGCTGGGGGGGAAAAAAACCCAGAAGCACAAGAGAGGCTTCATTGCAAACATACAGAAATTGGTGCTACATGTTTTCATGTGACCTTAATGTACAGCCAGTCCAGCATGTTTAAATATGTCATTGTGATTGGAGTAGTCTAAAGGGGGCTGTCATTCATATATTCTTCCATGTCTAATGAAAGTTGACTATATGCATACCCAAACCCATTAGAACATCCACATCATATGTGATTTAAGAGCCCCCCCCCCAACCTCTGGGCATGATTTCTCATTTCTAATGTAGTAATAGAATTTATTGTTACAACGGATGCTATGGGTGGTCATGAAAAGATTTGGGAGTATGTGTCGTATTTGGCATATATCTGAATTTTACTGTTTCATCACAGGGGAAGGTATTTTTTTTTGTCTTTCATTCTCTTATATGTCCATGTAACATTCTTCAGGAACCTTTTATTTTGTTTTTTTTCATCCTCCCTTTTCTTTGTTGGATGCATCTAATATTTCCCCTCCTGAGAGTTTTCTTCAAGTGTTTCAGAGCAAAAGCTGCATTTTTAAAAAGACATATTCCAGATTTACCTGCATTGTACTAACTTTCCTTTTCCCATACTTTCCTTTTCTCTAGCTTGCCTGCCAATGCTAGGCCTGTGATGATCCTTCTTTCACTGCTGCTTTCATTTACTAATCCTCTCTTTTCTTCTTCCTTTTCCCTCTCCCAATCCCGTCCACTTCTTGGGAACATCCAGTATGTCCAGGGCACAAAAGATCTTTTGAGGACCCTCTGCGCCTCGTGGCAAAACTCAAGGCGAACCCAAGAGACCCCTGTCAAATATCTGAAAATACAGCCGTTGCCACCACCTGTGCCTCTCAACCCTCCAGGGCTATCTAATTTTTCTATTGCTGCATCACTTTCTTTGTCCCAGCAAAAATAGGGAGATGCCACCATGCACAAGGAAAAAGCTATGCCAAGCCCTCAAGGCTGGAGTGGAGGTGCTCCTGCTACCCCTGGGGTTTGAAGCTTAAAGCCATACAAATCAATTCATCTGCTGTGAGTGCAATTAGAGGAAGTTCTTTTGGCTCCTGCATTTCAGACCTGGTTCAGGGATGTCCCAAGCCTTCAGAATTCTTGGGCGATTTATACAGTTATCTAGGTTGGTACCTTGTACTAATCAATGACACCGATCCCAATCCAGTTCTGTTGTCTAGAATCAGTGTTTCCAAAGCACACTACGCTTGCGCCAAACGTGATGCAGTTGGTCAACGTTAGCAACTTTTCAAAAACAATGCAATGCACTGTGAGCCAGTATTCAGGACTGTGTATGCGTGTGTTTGTGTGTCCGTACGTGTGTGGCTTGCATGATTCTATAGAAACGTAGACAAAATACGGGATAAGGGATCTAGAACTTTCTGGGACTGTATGCTTTTTATTTTGCTTTAATTTTTCTCCTCCAAGCGAATTCTAAACATTATTATTTGGAAGGTACGCTTGCAAGTGTCTATGCAGTTTCTGCTGAAATCTCAGAAGTAAGATGAACCTAGATTTCCATTGACCCAAGTGGAGATCTAGCACTCGCCATCTTTACAAAATGAGAATTATGCAACTTTATAAACTTATGTACAATAAGTCAACTTGCCTCCTTTCTATTCTGCAAAACCTAGATGCAAAATTGTATGTGTGTGTTTGCGTGACATGTATTTCCTTCTGTATTAAGCACAGTACGATTCACAGCTCTGCTACGTAAGTGTTTGGGTCTGCGGTGTCCTCAAACTATCACGAGAGGATAGTTCGGGCTGGATCACATCAGTTTATATAGACCTATCCTGCTGAAATTCAAGCTGCTATAGCCAGCAGGGCAAGATTGTGCAGAGTCTGAATTGAAAACTTTTTTAAAAACTCTATAAGAGATGAGAAAGGGGTATGTGTACTCCTCTGAATATAGTTAATTTAGTGTTTATACTGGTAACTGAACTTGAGTTTTAGAAGTGGCTTAGATTTTTCTCTACCTTTTTCTTCTCTTCCGCTTCTCCCCTCCCCCAATCTATTGACACTAGTGTTTTGTAGTATTAGGTAACAGTTTCTGATCAGAATTCTTTTCTTGCTTCACCTATTGCACATAATTTCTAGGACGGACAAGACGTAAATCAGAACAGGGGTTTATAGGAAGGCTTATTCCAGCCTTTCCCAACTTGAAGTCCTCTGCAGAGATGTTGGACTTCAGCTCTCATCATTCCATTCCCCATGCCGCTTGGGAAATAGAGTTGAAAATCTAACACCTTTGCATAGGGCACAAACTTCCCCAGATTAATTCCCTCTAGACAACAGAACCAAACTTGTTTGACCTCTTCAACCGTATTTTTCTGGAATTTGAAATCCATTTATGCCTTTCACTTTTGTAACAATAAAACTTCTCCTATCTTACTCTCTGACTCTCTGGTTTCTGTATCAAATCCATTGAAACATATTCTCCATATCTTTCTGCGCATGTAGTTTATTAGTTCCCCTTTTCATGCTGACACTGGAATGTAACAGTGTAATAGAAGATTGTATGTCTGTGTCTATGTGATTTTGCAAGTGTCAGTTTCCTGTGCATCATTCTAAAAATGAAATTGCTATGCACAAGGAGAAAGTTTGGAGATAGATGCACATTCTACTTATTCCTCTACCAATAAAATCTCATTGTTTTAAGAAATAGAGTCTAACCATCTAAAGTGGGAAATCTCTTCCATCTGTGTAAATGTCCTATGCAATTTAGAACTGAATTTGTCCTTTAGAAGTTTTGTGCTCACATTTGCAGGACATGTTTGAGCTCTACAGTTTTACTTGTCATGTTGCCCAAATCTCAAAACTTTGTGAATAGCTATAGATTTAATTTAGATTATTTTATGATTGAGCAGCCCAGGCCTAGAATGTGAGGCAAACTGGAACCACTCCTGTAGTGCTGTTCTACTTTCCTTTTTCATGCCTTGTGGCTACATTTGAAAGCAAAGGCCCTGGGAAAGGATTAGGTTTATTCATCCGATATTCATCCCTTATTCATCCCATGGCCATCATCTCTAAATATGGATTTTTGTGGGCTTCGTGTGTATTCGCAAAGAAAAATGGAAAATCAGCAAATACAGGTAGTCCTTGACTTATAATCATCCATTTAATGACCATTTGAAGTTACAACGGCACTTAAAAAGTAACTTATAACCATTATTTCACACAACCATTGTAGCATCCACATGACTGGAATTCAGACGCTTGGCAACTGGCATGTGTTTATGATGGTTACAATATCCCTAGGCCAGTGGTGGGTTGCTCCCAGTTCGCACCGATTCGCAAGAACCGGTAGTAAAAATTTGTAGTAGTTCCGAGAACCGGTAATAACATTGGCTGGCCACACCCCGAACTGGCCCAGTCGCCGCTCGCTTACCCCGCCCACCTCATCAGAGGCTTTTTTTTTTTTTTTAAACTTTTAAAAGCATTTTTTCTACAACCTCTTCGGCCGAAGAGGTGGTAAAAAAAATGCTTTGAAAAGCCTCTAACGATCTCAGCCGAGTTGCCTGGTTGGCAGAGGCTTTTCAAAGCATTTTTTTCTGCAACCTCTTAAGGTTGTAGAAAAAATGCTTTTAAAAGTTAAAAAAAAAAATGGCCACGCCCACCCAGTCACATTACTCCCCACCAAGCCACACCCACAAAATAAGCCACGCCCACAAAACCGTTAGTAAAAAAAATTAGAACCCACCCCTGCCCTAGGCCATCTAATCACTTTTTGTGACCAGCAAAGTCAATGGAAAAGCTACATTCACTTAATAATTGCACTACTAACCTTAAAAACTACATTGATTCACTTAACAATTGTGACAAGAAAGGTCGTACAATGGAGCACAACTCACTTAACAACTGTTTTGCCTAGCAACAGAAATATTGGCCTCAATTGTGGTTGTAAGTCGAGATCTTGTAAATGGCTGTCATCAAAATGGAACAGTCAACAATAGTTGAAGCCTATTAGGGTATAAGCTATATGTGTTCTGGATGGCTGCTTCAACTATGATTAATTACAATTCACACTACGTCATGCAAATGTTGTATAGTGGCCATCTGGAGAGGGATTGCTCATAAAGCAACATTCATGCATTGGTTCCAGTTTAATGTTAACAGTTGTGACTACCTGTATATCAATATGTTCCAATATATTCTTATCAATATATTAACCACTAGGTGGCAGCAAATAGTTTGCCATTTGTATAGCCAAGTTGTTACACAAGTGTTCTTGAAGCTGGAATTCAAGAAAGGGGCTTGTGTATCTGACAGAGAAATAATCAGCTATGGAGTATTCTCAGTACCACCACATAAATTTTCTAGAATTATTGTTGATCTGTTGACTAGTCAACTTACAGTAATTCATCTTTAGATGGCAACCAAGTTTTTCTTTTCTTTCTTGGCATACAAGCTAATGAATTTGTACAACTAATTTGCAACTACTATAAGAGAAAATTTGAAACTCAGGATTGACCTGTGAGGTCCTTGATGCCCTCTGAGCTTGGTTGTTTTCTTTCAGGCATTTCATAACCCAGCTAGGTAGCATCATCAGTGCTTGCAAGTACTAGATAAATGTTGAAGAGGTAGCTTTTGAGAAAACTCTTTGCTGAATTTTGTATCAAATCACAGCATATTGATTATTCAAAAAAGGAAAAAAAACGTGTCTTGAGGCCTTATTTATACCAAGTCATATTCTACTGTACAATAAAATACACTTTTAAAAAATATGTGAAGAGCCCATAGTGATTCTTCCAAAATAGTGGCCATTGCTGCACTGCTACAAAAGTATAAGAGTCAAGTCCATTTGTATACATTGAGCCATAATTGTAATCAATTTCAAGGCTACACATCTTATGGTTGGTCAACTCACTTAAAACAAAAAGGAACTACTATTGAGTCCTGGTGCCTCTCACAGCCCAAATTGCAAACAGGTGCTGGCTTGGAGGCCAAATGGCAAGGAGCAGTCTCACAGCACAGCTGCTAGGCCAATTATAGCCAAGCAGATTATCACTTCCAAGCCACGGCCATTATGTGCCACAGGTTGTTGAGATGGGAGGTTATCTTCCATTTTTCTCAGGAAAACACTGCTTTTTTGCTAGAAGAGCTTGGCCTGGCTCCACCCTGCCTCAGTAGATGCCTGACTCCAAGATAGAAGACCCATTGGGAGGACCTGTCCTCAGCAAATGGTAAGTGGGACATCTTCACATTGTAAGTAGGCTAGAAGGTTGACCTCACAAACAGAATTTCCAAAAGGCTCTGTATATAGCATGCCAATGACCAAGCTATCATCTTAGCCACCTCTCTCTACTGGCTAGCAGCATAAAACTGGGAATAGCTAGCTTCATGTTTACTGCTATCTTTACAGTCTGCCTGCCCAGCCCTAAAAGGAGGCTGTTACTTCCTAACTCGCTTTCTTTTATTCTTTTTTTTTTACTCCAAGCTAGAGAAAAAAATGTAAGGAAAAACCCTGAAGTGTTCCAATTGAGAACTGTTGGGGGTTTTCTTGGGGTGGGGAAGGGCCAGATCCTGTCCAGCTTCCAACCTCTTCTGCCCTTTCTTTAGCTGCAGAAGGGAGAAACCAAACTAGCCAAGGAAACGGAGTACCTAAAGGCCTCATTTTAACTTAGCACATTGAGAGCCTCACCTTGATCTCGGGAACGAAGATTAAATAGTACACTGGTCAGCAGTTCCCATATAGAGGTTGACTTGGGGGGAATGTAAACAGGTAATTCTTGATTTACAATCCCAATTGGACCAGAATTTCTAAGCAAAGCAGTTGTTAAGTGAGCCGCACCCTATCTTATATTTTTTGGCACTGCAGTTGTTAAATGAAATGTCATTAAGTGAATCCTGCCTTGCCCACTGTCAGTTGAGGACTACCCATATGCAAGATTGACTGCTAGATGTTGTAATTTAGCAATATCTGGTGACCCTCAGGATTCCCAATGCTACTCTTGATCCTCACAACCATATTAAGCAACATTATAGGCCCTATTGTGCAGGATTGTTGTTGTTTTCTTGCCAAGTTGCTGATGTTTCTGGATCACAGGCTTAGCTTCATATAAACAATATAAAATATTTTTTCCAAATTGTAATTCAGGCACCAACAATTGGGCCTGCAATATTTTCAGGTGTTCCCCAAGGCCAGAATGAAAATGCTGATGGGCTAAAACATAACTTTCCAGTGAAACCTATTTTTCCACCATGTTGCCGAACCTGATAAGTTTAATGTAGATAGGGTGTTTTGTTTGTCTTTTTGGATGGCTGCCATCAAATACTGTAGCTGAGTGTCACCTTGACATTTTATAAGCATCTTCCTGCGTGATGCAGATGAGAAAAGAGAGGGGATCATCAGCAGAGAAAATCAAGTTAGTGGTTCTAATACTGCAAAACTGTAAGGCTTGCTTTGGAAAGCCATTGTTAGGTCCCAAGATTTTTGCTGTCGGAAGAAAAGGCTCGGCAGTATTAATACACACCAGCAATTGACTCTTATTTTGGGACTAGTGATAGGATCATAACTTTAATTCACTTGATAGTAACTGGCTGATCTGGTGATCTCTACCTGTATAGTCCTGTCCCCCGTGCTTCTCATCAATTGTTGCCTAGCTCTGCAGCCTTAACTGACTGCAATCATAGCTGTGGCTAGGCCACATAGCTGCTCATCAACTCCAACTGAAAGCCAGCATTGCATGCCACAAGTTGCCGCAAAGGCTTTTAGTGATAGTGTTGTGTTATAATATTGCTAATATTAACACAATACCTATGTTGACAATATAGAAAGCTGACCATAATCACAATATATGGACCATGTTGTTGTTGTTAGTTGCAAAGCCGTGTCCAACCCATTGCGACCCCATGGACAACGTTCCTCCAGGCCTTCCTGTCCTCTACCATCCTCTGGAGTCCATTTAAGCTCATACCTACTGCTTCAATGACTCCATCCAGCCACCTCGTTCTCTGTCGTCCCGTTCTTCTTTTGCCTTCAATCTTTCCCAGCATTAGGCTTTTCTCCAGTGAGTCCTTCCTTCTTATTAGGTGGCCAATGTATTTGAGTTTCATCTTCAGGATCTGGCCTTCTAAAGAGTAGTCAGGGTTGATCTCTAGGACTGACCAGTTTGATCGCCTTGCAGTCCAAGGGACTCGCAGGAGTCTTTTCCAGCACCATAGTTCAAAGGCTGAGGCACTGAGCCTTTCGTATGGTCCAACTTTCACAGCCATACATTGCAACTGGGAAAACCATAGCCTTGACTATATGCACTTTTGTTGGCAGAGTGATGTCTGTGCTTTTTAGTAAGCTATCTAGATTTGCCATAGTTTTCCTCCCCAGGAGCAAGCATCTTTTAATTTCTTGGCTGCAATCCCCATCTGCGGTGATCTTGGAGCCCAGGAAAATAAAATCTGTCACTACCTCCATTTCTGCCCCATCTATTTGCCAGGAATTGAGAGGGCCAGACCATGAGTTGTCCATTTTATGTCCTTCTGGAAATCTTTAACAGAAGGCATATAGCCATCCGTGGGATGTTTACAGTTCAGATTTTTCATGTTAAGCTGGAGAGCCATTGTCTCATGGTCCTTCCATTTCCATCCATCTGTGAATTTGGTCATTCCTTACAGAAAAGATGTTTCCTGAAAGGCCATTGGAGGTGGCCAGGTATATTAGAAGCCTTCAGCTCTTTCCTTCCAAAGCCTTCCTCCTGTCTCCTCCTCACGCTCTGGTGGGGAAACTCATCAGAGCGCAGATCTCAATCACTTACTTAAGACGCTAAGAATTACGATGCTGACACCGGGTTTGCTCATCTTCCGGGTGTCTGCCATGAGTCACTCTTGATGGAACACTTTCCTCTCAAACTGGATCAGCTGAGTTATCGGCCTCGCCCATCCCTTGCACATATTCAGAGATTTCACCTAAGGCTGTGCTTGGAAGCAATTTGTCATAGTGTTACATTCTTCCCCTACCCCGTACCCCTTTCTTTATGGAAATCTCGGTAGAAATGAGAAGGTCTTTTCCTAAGAAAGCAGCTTGAATCCTGAGCCTGAACTATTTTATTTTTTCCTAAGAGAGAAGAAACAGAGACAAATTGCAGAAAACATTGGTTAAAATCTTTTGTAGTGAAATGTCCGTAGAGTTACAGACATTTATGTCGATGACAGACATAAGACAAATATGTCTATTATTTAAAAGCAGTGAATGCAAATAGTAGCCAATAGTTTAGCTTTGGACATTTGGGGGGAGAATGTTTGTTGTTAGTGGGGCATGAAGTGAAAAGACATATTTCTTTGAGTAGCCAAGTAGTTAGGTAATTTAAACTCTGCCCTTTCTTATGGGGAGGCTTTTTAAGAATCAAGACATATTTATCTTGAAACTGAACACATTTTTTCATTTAGGTTTCTGTCCCACTTCAATTGCAATCAGCTGTGCTAAGCCAATGCTAAACGTTGTGGAGGCCTTTTCACTTTTATTTATTCTTGGGTGGTACCTTAGGCTTCTATCCAAAGACTCTACATCAGGGCAGGGGTGGGTTTTACTTACCTTTATTACTGGTTCGCAACGGGGCCATGCGCAAGCGCAGAAGCTTCTGCACATGTGCAGAAGCATTTTCATGATGTCAGGGTCAGTGGGCGTGGCCTCCCACCGGTTTTACTACCGGTTCTATAGAACCGGTGCAAACTGGGGGCAACCCACCACTGCATCAGGGGTGTCAAACTCAAGGTCCAGGGGCCGGATCTGGCCCACAAGGTGCTTAGATCTCGCCTGGGGGGCCACCCTACAAACAGCAAAGGACCAGCCCGCACTGCCTCTGCCAGCAAAAATGGAGCACGTGGCCCTCCTGAACTCCATTTTCGCTGGCAGAGTGGGTTGCAGAGGGCCATCACAGCTGAAAACAGAGCTCAGGATCCTGTTTTCACTGGCAGAGTGCTTGGGCCACCACAGGTGCCCCCGACACGAGTGATGTTGAGCTGGTCACACCCACCCCGGCCATGCTCCCCGTGGCCCCCCAGGGTCAAACACAACCCTGATGAGGCCCTCAATGAAATTGAGTTTGGCACTCCTGCTCTACATAAAGGCCCTACTCTATGAATTATTAACCACATTATGAATTAAACATCTTTGCTATTTTAAGATACCACCCTTTACCATCAGATCATTGATCTGTTTAGCTTCACACAGTTTTTTCTGATGCAATGGAATGCTCAACAGAGCTGTGGAACGTGGGCAGTTGGACACTTAAGGTGGGAAACAATCCCTTTATTTTTGAATCCAGAGGTGAAAGGAGGTGTAAGAAAGAGTCTCATAGTAATTCCAGCTTGATTTCACCAGATATAAATTACATAGGAGAATCACTTCAGTAAGTTTTCAAAATTCTGTTACGTCACCTTCGTAGTGCTCTTTCTAGAAATCCAGGGGGTTCTTTTTTCTTGAACTTGCCAGCTTCATGATACATGATACCTGAGTGGTAGCAAACGTCTCACTTTAGCCTATTGCTTCTTGAGTTATGCGTGTATTCTTCTTCCTGCTAAACTGAATATTCACAGAGGGAGGAAGGGATAGTCATGACTGCGTAACAGAACCACTATATTACAAGATAAGATCCTCAGGGCTGTAAATCCCTCTCCCTTGGGATCTGGAAAATAGACCAATGTTTGCTAACCAGGCACCTTCCAAATGAATTGGGAATGCATCTCCCAGAAATCCACGCCAGAATAGCCATTGTTATCTGACACATCTGGATGGTGCCGGGTTGGGGAAAGCATGATAATGAGTTATTGAAAAAATAGCATGGCTTGGTGTGACTCACATTTTAACATTCAAATCCTTTAAATTGGGAAATAAGCTGCTGTTGAGTCAGGAAGGGCCGCAGTTCAATTCTAGAGCACATGGTTTTCACAGTGATCTAATACTCAGTTCCCACATCCCTTCTAATTGCTTTATTTAAACAGTATCAGTGGTACCAAGGTATATAAGGTACCAATATCAGTGGTACCAAGGTACCAATGTAATTCACTACTTACACATTTCAGTCTAAACTGTTTAATCAAGCTATCTCCTAGAATACCAAAATGTAAAATTAGAAAAAAAAGGGAAAGAAGAGAAACAAACAAGGGAAAACCACACACACCAAAGAACAACAGCAGTATTACGGTATAGAACAATAAGCATTTCTTCCCTTATCAAATATACCAACATACGATTTTATATATGCAACTTATTATGGATTTTTGAACAACAAACTGAGACTATACTGAATTATATTTTTTGATCTTATCTCTCAAAATCCCCATAATCAAAGGATCAGATAACAAATAATGTGAAAATGAGAGATTACTGCAACCTGAACCATAGACTTGTGGAGTGGAAAGGGGCCACAAGAATCATCCCATCTAACTCCGTATTTTATGGGGAAATCAGTCCATTCTTGAGAGGTATATTTAAACTTATAGTAGCTGCAACTTTGAGCAATTATTCATGACCCTAACTTCTGTGGTAATAGAAATTAGTTCTTGACCATCTTACTGTGGCAGTCTAATATACTGGAATGATGACTTAATGTCTCCCCTTGAAGAGGACCAGCTATTTACAGTAGTCTGATGTTGTGTAGGATAATGTTCTGTTAAGTGAGGTTTGCTTCATTTTATGACCTTTTGCCATAGTTGTTAAGCAAATCATAGCAGTTGTTAAAGGAATCTGGCTTCCCCCATTGACTTTGCTTGTCAGAAGCCAGCTGGGAAGTTACAAATGGCAATCACATGACCCCAAGACAGTCATAAATAGTTGCCAGTTGCCAACCACCCAAAGTTTTGATCGTATGACCATGGGATGTTGCAGCAGTCGTAAGTGCGAAAAGCAGTCGTCACTTTTTCTGGTGTCATTATAATTTCAAATGGTCATTAAATGAAGGTGTGTAAGTCAAGGACTACCTATAAGTAGGAGAGATTTTGTATGTGATAATTTTTTTTTTTTTTTAAATTTGATTTATATGCCGCCCTTCTCCGGAGACTCAGGGCGGCTTACAGTGCGTTAAGCAATTTGATCTGGTGCTAGTCTTTCATATATATGGATCATCACTTGAGACAGTAAAGTGAGCAGGTCTGTACAGATGTTCATGCAGCACAGAATACTCAAAAAAGTCCACTCCAAAGAATATTACCCTCATTCTGGTGAAGTAATTGTTAGATACAGCACTGGATATTTTTTTTTACATACTGTTTTTCTGTTTTAAATTTGAGCCAATAATTTGAATTCATCCTTGAGGTTAAAAAATACTTGAGGTCTTTAATTGAACATCCCATTAACTGTATTTCTCTGAACTTTATGGACTCTTATATTCCATTATATACATGGTTCCCTATGTTTTAGAAAGACAGCAGTTTCACAAGCAATATAATTTAAGATGAGTAATTTAATTAAGTTTGAGATTCCCTAGAATACTGGCACACACAGGGTGGAGGAGATGCAAAGACAGAAAGGATCAGGATCAGAGGCAGCTCAGGTTGAAGAAATACTGTATATCTGTGCTGCCCCCTGGAGGGGAAGGATAGTCCTATCCTCCTCTCTGGTTCGCTGTCCTGCCAAAGCTTCTACCTAGACAAGCAACCTCTTGCTCAAGTTTCCAAAAGGCTGCATTTCCACATCCTAGGCAGGTATGCATTCATTCACTCACTCACTCACTCCCGCTTTGGCTCCAAGGTGAATCACTGCAACTCCTTTTAAGGAGAGGCTGCATGAAAGGAAGTGGGGGAAGGGTTCATGGAGAAGCTTCTTCACCACGCCTTGTTCTTGCTTCAGGCTGAGACACCAAGCCAAAAGCTGATCCCAGCAGCTAAACTCAGCAGAGATTCCGACAGCTTTGCTAGCAGCTGCCTGATTCCTCTCCAAATCGGCCTCCTTGCCCAGCGCTCCCTATCACTGCTTATTCACAATGGCCAGGAATCACCTAGTACAGAAAGCCAAGCTAGCTGAACAGGCTGAACGTTACGAGGACATGGCCGATTTCATGAAGTCTGTAGTAGAGGATGGAGCCGAACTCTCTAATGAAGAACGCAACCTGCTCTCAGTTGCCTACAAGAACGTAGTCGGCTGTCAGAGATCGGCATGGCGAGTCGTCTCCAGCATTGAGCACAAGACGGAGGAAGGAGATGACAAAGCTCCGCTGGTCAATGAATATCGGGAGAAGATTGAGAAGGAGCTGAAGAATGTCTGCAATGTGGTCTTGGGGCTCTTAGACAAGCATCTCATTCAGAAAGCTAGTGACGCAGAAAGCCAAGTGTTCTATTTAAAAATGAAAGGCGACTACTTCCGTTACCTGGCTGAGGTGGCCGCTGGGGACGACCGAAAGCAGATAATTGACAATGCCCGAAAAGCTTACCAAGAGGCAATGGATATCAGCAAGAAGGAGATGCAACCCACAAACCCTATCCGCCTGGGCCTTGCTCTCAACTTCTCCGTGTTCCATTATGAAATTGCCAATGCTCCAGAAGAGGCAATCAAGCTGGCCAAGACCACCTTCGATGAAGCCATGGGTGACCTCCACACGCTCAGTGAAGACTCCTACAAAGACAGCACTCTCATCATGCAGCTTCTCAGGGACAATCTCACATTATGGACAGCAGAGTGCTCAGGAGAAGAAGGTGGAGAAGCGGGCGAAGAGCCAAAGAACTGAACTTTTTAGACAATAGAATGATGGTAACTCCACATCTCCCTTCCTCTTGTTCTTTTTCCAACACATGGTATTTTTTATAAGACGCATCTCCAGTTCCTGAAAGTTTCAACGGGATTTTGACAGCAAAAGGGGATGGATTCATAAAGGACTTAAGCATTTATCCGCTCGTCCTCAATGTGACAGCTTTGGGATTACCTTCGTCCATGGGCCCCGTTCTTCCTGGTATGTGACATCTGCTAGACTCACCGCAGCCTGGAACTCCTTGCTTGGGGTTTTTTTTTTTTTTCCTTCTTCATAAACTCTTGTGTTTGGTACAGCATCTGGTTAATACAAGTGTTCTCCTGGTATGGGATGGATATATATATATATAATTTGTATGTTTAACTGTGAACAAAACTAAAACCCAAAAGCTTAAACATTATTTTGCATGGCAAAGGTACCAAAACAGTAGCCAAACCAAGTTAAACAAAAATACTTGTCTTTGCTTTCTCCAGTGCTTTTGTTCTGTGGGGTTTTCTCACTCCGGGCCAGAAGTTGGAAACGGGGCCTTTGTGTGAATGTGGGAGGGAGGATTTCTTCTAAGGGGTTAAAGCTAGCAATCTCAAGAGAGCCTCTTGTTACTGTGGTGTTTACTGTGGTGGTTTGCTGCAATACTCTTCCCCAATAAAAATTCACGTTTATGCCTGCCTTTCGTAGTTCTGGTCTTCAGTTCCATGTCTGGTTGCTTCCAGGTAAGAGGGGAGAATGTGACCCCTCTTAGAGCCACTTCAGAGGTGGGAACACAAGTCTAAGCAAAAGGTATGGTGAGCAGGTTGATGCCTGTTAGACATTTCTGAAATCCCAGGTTCTCCTGCAGGCTTTGGGGTGGGGTGGAGGTGGGAGAACAGTATGTCTGAAGCAAGAACGGCATTGTGTAGGTTTCATCAATGAAAGGAAAGGAGGAGGGCGGAATTTGCAAAGCAGCCCTGAGGAATGGCTTTAAGGATCGGAATATTTTGATCTGAGCTGAAAAGGATGCATTCCCCCTTCTCCAAGAGAAAAGCAGCACATGCTTGTATTTTCCAGGACCACAAATGCTGCTCCCTTATTCAGGAAGCACATAACCATGCATCAAATCCCAGTCATGGATGCTTTCTTTCATTTTTTTTTGGACTGGGTGTGATCAGGATTTTTTTTTTACATCCTACACTAATGCAGATCAACCCTATGCACTAGACTAGAGAATATTGGGATGTTCTATGACGATATGTGCTCTTTTGGCTCACATTGGGTCTATTTTAAACACCAGGAAAGCCTATTGATGTTCCTAAAAAAAAAAAACTTGTTACTAAGAATGTAATTAGTTTTCTTTTTGATTGTTCAGGAAACAAAGTATCAGGAAAATCTATATGTCTCTTGCTTAATTTCCTTAGCACTTCCAGGTGGATCTCAAGGTCTATTTGGGACCTTGAAGAGCATCTATCTTTCATGCCAAAGAAAGGTGAACCACTGGTCTTCGAGTGATTTCTTTGTTCCTAGCTGGTGGGCTATGGGAGGACACATATTAGGCATGCAAGAAGTCCCATGTTCTGTCCTTCAACCTCTAGGTAGAGCTGGGAATAACTCCTCTATCAGTCCCTGGTGAACCAGCCAATGAAGAGGGCTTTAAAAAAAATAATTGCCCAAGCTTAGCCAGAAATCAAACAAGGATAAAGATATAACAAGCAAGATAAAAAATATATAAAGCATAATAAAAAATGTTCCCATCCTCAGGAGTTAATTGATCTAGATGGAGCAACAGTCTGATTTAATTTAAGACAGTTTCCTGTTTTAAGATGATCACTATGGACTAGCTCCTCTTAAGAGAAACTTAATCTTTTATTATGCAAAGAATCATTGGGGAATATTATTCCCCAACATCTGTACGGATTATCAAGGCTAGTTCTAATTTCACTGCTTTAAAAAAAAATGCAGCTTTCACTTCATTCTTAGAAATCTTTCATGCACCATCCATTTTTGAACATCCAATCTCAGAAATACATGATGAAATCATGCAAGTGTATTTTTACTTCTGCTGCCCATACAAAGACTAGGACTTTCTCTAGCAGACCAAGTGAAGAAAGCAAGTATTTCACCTGTCCTTGATGGCATTTATTTTTGAGGTCAAGAAAAAAAAACCACCCAACTACCAAAGTAGCCTCACATATTTATTTGGGAATAGGAACTCTGCTAGAAGTTAATTAGCTCAGGTACTGAAGACCTTCAGATGCTCGTGATCCTACGAGAAGAACTGAGCCCAATCCCAGATCAGTATCATGACCTAAGACAAGCTTGAAGAAACTTCACCACTTCTATCATAGGGCAAGGGATTTCCCCCCCTCAATTTGCAAGAGAAACTTATAGAATGTTAGCGTTCTCAATCTTTATTTCCTTCCTTTACACAGTTGCTTTATAAAATGCACACACACACTCACACACACACAATAATGTTGGCAGCTTTTGCTTGTGTGAAACTGGAAAGGGTGTGCCTCACTTCAGGCAGTTAAAAACTGGGACATTTCATCTTGATGTCTCGGGATTACATGCAAAAGTTCCCAAGTCTACTCCCTAACATCTCCAGGCAGCCTGGGAGATTTCTTTCTCCTTAAAAGCTTGTGAATGGTTTTGAATGAGACCAGGAGTCTCCAAACTTGGCAACTTTAAGACTTGTGAACTCCCAACTCCCAGAATTCCTCAACCAACCTGAATTAGATGAGCCAATGGCCTGGCTCAATATAAGAAAGCAGTCAATGTTCTGGTATTCTTCTGGCAGGCTGGAGAAGATGTGCGCCTGCTACACTATTAAGAACAACCATAAAGGCAGGACAGGTGCTTGAGCATACGAGAAAGGAGATGGGATGAGTTCTAGCAAGGAATCCAGATAGGGTAAAAATGTTGCACATGTTTGTTTTGGAGCAGCATGCACATATATCAATTTATATAATCCTTGTAGCTGAAAAGATGGCTCCCTTTTGTTCTAGGACTTGGGGAACCTGATGGTTAATAGGTGCATATGTGCCAGGGAGGTCTTTTGCATAGGGGTGAAATTTACTTACTTCCCTATCGGTTCGCCAATGTGCATGCGCAGAGGCTTAAAATGTCACAAAACAATGTCATGATGTCCGCATGGGTGGGCGGAGCCTCCCACAGCCGCCACTACCGGTTTGCCAGAGCCGGATAGAACCAGCTGGATTTCACCCCTGCTTCTGCATAAACCTTACCAAAATGAAATGGGGGCTGAAAACAACATGACATTCTCGAATGATCCGCCCCTTATTTCATCTTTCTCACACTTCTGACCTCTGTGGAACCACACAATCACTGGCCATCTTCTCTCTACCTCTGAATTTCTGGAAGTCACTATCACAAATGGGCTAACTATTCAGTTTTTGAAAATATCTAAGTATCCAAAGATCTTGCAACTATCTTATTTTTTTCAAAAGAAGCTGTTGGAGAAGCTGATGCAATAGACTCCTCACCCTACCTCCCAACCATCTCGTGGCCGATTGAAAAAAGAATGCCTTTGCTCACTAAACATTCTTAACTGCAAAGGGGAAAATTGATATGGAAAGTTTCACAAGGACGCAACTGCTGACTCAGTACAATAACTGTCCTTTATACGGGCCTGTTATTCTATTGCAAGGCTCCTGTTGGGCTGAATACAACATACGGACAAGATGAATGATCACTGGTGTCGCAACCGAATCAGTAATAACTCACAGGTGCAGGAAAGGAAACTGAAGAAATCTACAAACTGTCAGTGTGTAGGATGATAAGCCATCCACTTCTTCATTTAAATATAATCCTTAAGGTTCTGGGTGGTGCCCTGCTTAGTTCTCCTCCTGGAGTCAACCTCTTCTCAAGTTAATTGAATGAAGTGGGTCTTGAGTTTATTCATAAACCGGGTGAGAAGAGGATAAAAAGACGCAGGGAGGCTTACACCAAAGACAGTATACTAAATAGCATATTGCCCCCAACAATCTGGGTCCTCATTTTACCCACCTTGGAAGGATGGAAGGCTGAATCAACTTTGAGCCGGTGAGATTTGATCCGCTGATCTGCTGAACTAGCAGTCAGCTGAAGTACCTGCAGTACTGCACTCTAACCACTGCGCCACCTCGGCTCTTATCTGGCTTCTTCACCTGTGCAATTACGTAGATTAAAGCAATGTCTCCTCCCATGGCGTTTTCAGATAAGATAAGCTCCATCCAGTATCATCATCTTTATTTCTCTGCCTGTGTCAGCTGGTTTGCATACTGTTCTATGCCAGCACATGGGCACATCTTGATGGGCAGGAATTAACGCTATTTGAGGCATGGGAAGGGCAACCGTTGACAAGTAGGGAAGCCCAGTGGGCAGGACCCAGAACGCATAGGAGCAGAATGAGCCTTTCCATTTCTTGCTCCTGACTTTGTGACCAATTTGGTTTCATTCCAGGGATGGTGCAGGAAGCCAAGGGCAGCTGCTGGGGTAATCAAATGCCCGGCCTGTTTTTCTACATGTAGCGAATGCTCACAAAGCAAGAAGAACTTCAATGGAGAGGTCCTTAGGGCAGGGTTGTTTTCTTGCAGACTTTTCACGAGCCCAACTAGGTAAATAAATAAATAGTGCTAGTCCTGATGATACCTTGAAACGTCTGCAAGAAAACAACAAGGACTCCTCATGTCAACCCTGAGCTACAAATATATCTCCTTTATCAGCGTTTCAATGAGCTGTTGAGGCCACCACCATCCTGAATTTTCGAACCACACCCCGAGGATGTCCCTGGGAATTGGAGAGAGAAGAAGCAAACAGGTTAGACTCCTTTTAGTGAGGTCAGCCTTGAGAAACTGCTTGGAGTGATGCTTGCAGCGTTATATTTCCAGCGAGGGATAGTGGTTAAGATAGTTACACTAAGACTGGGGAACAACCCACGGCCCAGTCTCTTCTCAACCACAGAAGCTCCCTTGGGGATTTTGGGCCACTTCTGCTCTGTGGGGCCACTGTGGCATGCATAAAATGGACATCCTCCTTATTAGCTATCTTGAGCTCTCAGAGAAAAGGTGAGATTAAAATCTAACAAATGCATTTAAAAATAATAATACCTGCTTTGGGGTGAATTGCTAATGAAAAAGACAATTTCTTAAAACTTTCAATTAAATAAGCTTTCTTCCTACCGGTAGCCCTGAGCCAATGCTTTTAACAGCAATCTGGAAAGAAGATATTTAGCAGGCAAATTCTACTCCTTCCTTTACCATCTACTTCATTTTAGCTACTAAAATTAAATGGGGGGAAACACTGGTATCCCTGCAGAATGCAGGCAAGTTTATCCTTATATTTCGTACGTTTGTATGTTGTATGTTGTGTATGTGTACTTTTTGTATTTGCTACCTAGTAGAGTGTTAGAAGTCATGTAAATGGGTTTGGGATGGGTTTGACTGTCTTCCTCAACAGAATAGCTCTTCAGAAACTGGATAGAAAGGGATCCAGTTTGCACCAGAGGGAGAAATTGGTGAAAAAACCATCCAGTTCAGAAATGGGTTGGGAGCGCTACAGAAAAAAAAAATCCAGAAAAATTCCTCCCCTCCAGTGCTCCCTTGAGGGAAAGACAGTTGGGCAACAGCTTGTAAATTGCTGTCTTCTCCATTGTAAGTGATCCTCCTTCCTGGTCGCATGACCCAGAGCAGAGG